GAGGGAGAGAGACACACAGGCACACACACAGAGAGAGAGACACAGAGAGAGAGAGAGACACAGACACAGAGAGAGAGACACACAGACACACAGAGAGAGAGAGAGAGAGACACACAGAGAGACAGAGAGACACAGTCACAGAGCAACACACACACTCAGACAGAGAAAGAGAGAGACACACAGACAGAGGAGAGAGAAACATACTCAGACACACTCGTAAACAAACACACACACATATAGAAGAGAGACGCACACAGATACAACAACAACAAGATGACATGTGTATAGCGCCTTTCACATCGGGAGGACGTCCCAAGCCACTGGACAGTGATAGCATTTCAGACCCGAGCTGGGGTGGGGTGGGGGGTGATGGGGAAGTGAGGGGAGGGGAAGGGGGTGACCGATGGCATGGTCGAAGAGGAGGGTCTTGAGGTGGGACTTGAAGGAGGTGAGGCGGAGTGACTGGGGGATGGAATTCCAGAGGTTGGGGCAGAGTGGCTGAAGGCTCTCCCGCCAATGGTGGGGCGGGTGGGTCGGGGGACGTGGAGCAGCCAGAGTTGGCTGAGCGGAGGGAGCGGGCGGGTTGGTAGAGGGTTAGGAGGTCACAGAGGTAGGGTGGGGCGAGGCCATGGAGGGCTTTGTATGTGAGAACCAGGATCTTGAACTGGATCCTCTGAAGGATAGGGAGCCAATGGAGTCGGGCGAGAGTGGGGGAGATGGGGTCATGGAGTTTGGTGCGGGAGAGGACACGGGCTGCAGAGTTAGTTCTGGATTATCTGCAGCTGTGGAGGGAGGAGTTGGGAAGGCCGACACGCAGGGAGTTTGCATACTCGAGCCTGGAGGTGATGAAGGCGTGAGGGAGAGAATAGGAGGGCGGCAGAGAGCACGGTCGAAAAGGAGTGTCCTGAGTCATGCCTTGAAGAGGCGACGAAGGGAGCCCGGCGAAGGGACTGTGGGATGGAGTTCTACAGGGTGGGGGCAAAGAGGCTAAAAGCTCGGCTGCCGATGGAAGGGCAGGTCGGGTGGGAGACCTGGAGCAGATCGGAGCCCACAGACAGGTTGATAGGGGGTCAGCAGATCAGAGATGTAGGAGGGTGAGGTTATTGAGCTGGAAAGTGAGGACGAGGATTTTAAATTCTACTGTCTGAGGCATGGGGGAACCAGTGGAGCCGGGTAACACACACACCCAGAGAGAGACACACACTCACACAGACACCCACAAACACAGAGAGTCACACAGACACTCACAAACACAGAGACACACACTCACACAGACACTCACAAACACAGAGACACACACACTCACACAGACACCCACAAACACAGAGACACACACTCACACAGACACCCACAAACACAGAGAGACACACACTCACACGGACACTCACAAACACAGACACACACAGACTCAAACACAGAGAGACACACACACATACACTCACAGACACAAACACAGAGAGACACGCATTCACACACAAACTCAGAGATGGACACAGACGCTCACAAACACATACACAGACACTCAAACACACAGACACACATTCACGCAGACACAAACACACAGGGACACATTCATACACAGAAACAGAGAGACATACTCATATAGACACTCACAAACACAGATACAGATACTCATGAATACACACAGAGACACACACACAGACGCTCACAAACACTCACAGAGACACTCACACAATCACGAACAGAGAGGGAGAGACACGCACTTACAGATACAAACACAGAGAGAGACACACACAGGAAATACACACACACACAGACACAAACTCACAAAAGACAGACAAAGAGACACACAGTCACAGAGAGAGACTCACACTCAGCCACTCAGAGACACAGACTCACAAACACAGAGACACACACTCACACAGACACAAACACAGAAAGAGAGACACACACTCACACAGACACAAACAGAGATACACACACAGACACAAACACAGAGAGAGAGACACAATGCACAGACACTCACAAACACACACACACACTCACAAACAAACGCAGGGACACACACAGAAACAAACACAGAGACACACACTTATACAGTCACAAGCACACATAGAGACACACACAGACACTCACAAACAGAGAGAAACACACAGACAGAGACACACAGACATAAACAGAGATGCACACTCACACAGACACTCACAAGCACACACACTCACAAACGCAGAGAGATACACACACTTATAGAGACACAAGCACACATAGCGACACTCACAGACACTCACAAACAGAGAGAGACACACACACAGACACAAACACACAGAGAGAGAGATACACTCACAAACACACAGAGATCACACTCACACAAACAGACACACACTCACAAACACACAGACACAACGCAGAGGGAGATACACTCGAGCAGACACAAACAGAGACACATACTCACACAGACACTCACAAACACACACTCACACAGACACAAACACACACACAGACACTGACAAACACAGACAGAGAAAGACACACACTCACAGACACGGAAACTCACAGAGACACATTCACAGAGATACAGACACACACTCACAGACACTCACCAACACACACAGAGACACACACACTCACACAGACACTCACAGACAGACACACACTCACACAGATACAAAACGGAGAGACACACAGACAGAGAAAGACACACACTCACAGACACGGAAACTCACAGAGACACATTCACACAGACACTCACAGACACACATACAGACACTCACAAACGCAGAGACACACACTCAAATGGAAACAAACACAGAGAGACACACTCACACAGACACAAACACACATAGAGACACACACAGACACTCACAGAGAGAGAGACATACAGACACAAACAAACACACACAGACAAACACAGAGAGACTCACACAGACACAAACTCACAGAGAGAGAGAGACACTCACACAGACACTAACACAGAGACACACTCACACAGACGCTCACAAACAGAGAGACACACACTTACACAAACACTCATAAACCAACACAGAGAGACACACACACACACAAACACAGAGAAAGAAACAGACTCGCACAGACACTCACAAACACACACAGAAACACTCACAAACACACACAGAGACACACTAACAGACTCTCACAAACAGACACACTCACGGACACTCACAAACACAGACACTCGCACAAATACACACAGAGATACACTAACAGACTCACAAACAGACACACTCACAGACACTCACAAACACAGACACTCGCACAGACACTCACAAACACAGACACTCGCACAAATACACACAGAGACACACTAACACTCACAAACAGAGACACACTCACAGACACTCACAAACACAGAGACACACTCACACACAAACACAGAGACACTCGCACAGACACTCACAACCAGACACACTCACAGACACTCACAAACTCATAGAGAGACACACACTCACAAACCCACAGAGACACACACTCATACAGACACAAACTCACACAAACAGAGGCACACACTCACACAGCCACAAACACAGAGATAGAGACATATACACAGACACAAACAGAGAAAGACACACAAGTGCACACAGATACAAACATAAGCAGAGACACACTCACACAGACACAAACACACAGACACACACAGCGACACAAGCTCACACAGACAACTATAGAGAGACACCCACTCACTCAGACACAAACACACACAGAGAGAGACACACCCTCACACAGACGCACAAACACACACTCACACACAGACTCAAACACAGAGAGACACACTCACATAGACACAAATACACAGACACACACTCATCTAGATACTCGCAAACACATAGACACATACTGTCACAGAAACAAAAAGACACACAATCACAGACACAAACACACACAGACACACTCACAGACACATACACAGAGACACACACACACAGTCACAAGCAGAGAGAACACACACTCACAAACACAGATAGAGTCACACAGACACAAACACAGACAGACATAGAGAGACACAAAGAGAGACACTCGCATAGACACTCACACACTGAGACACACTCACCCAGACACAAACACACACAGAGAGACACACTCACAGAGACACTCACAAACAAAGACAGAGACACACTCACACAGCCACAAACACAGAGATAGAGTTGCACACGCACACACAGACAAAAACAGAGAGTGAGACACACGCTCACACAGATACAAACACACAGGGAGAGACACACACTCACACAGACACAACAGAGAGAGAGAGTCACACACATGCTCACAAACACACAGCGACACAAGCTCACACAGACACAACTACAGAGAGGCACCCACTCACACAGAAACAAACATACAGAGAGCGACTCATACTCACACACAGAGACACACTCATAGACACAGACACACACTCACCTGGATACTCACAAACACACACACATACACACTATCACAGAAACAAAAACAGAGACACACGATCACAGACACACACACACACAGACACTCAAAAACACAGAGAAACAGAAAGACATTCACACACACAAACACACACAGAGACAATCACAACAGTGGAGTCTCCACGTGAAGCCCTTTTCCCACTTTCACCGCACGTTCTCCCCCCCCCGTGACATCAGGTAAACAGCGCTGAGGCTCAGATGCCATTGTTAGTGGGTCTGTTGTTTGTTGTGGCGGAGGGTGTTTATGGTGGATTCCGTGGAGAAAGTGCGGCCGCAGTTTTCTATTGACCCAGGAAATGAGCTATTGCTTATTGTAAGGTAATATCAATAAAGGGGTTTAAACGTGAACAATTGTCTGGCAAAGCATTCCATTAATTTTAAACAAATTATGCCGAGGCCTATATCTCATTGAAGCTAATTTGTTGCTCAGGCTATGAGAAGGATTGCCACAGACCCACTGGCTTGTCTTCTCTAAACAAACGGGTCAGTCATTCACCCAGGCCAGACAGTACATCTCACTCCCAACTCTCCTCAGGCAAAACTTTGTTACTTTAGATTTTCTTACTGAATATTTTTTCTTCACAGATATAAATGAATGCGAGATTAGTGCCCACAACTGCGATCAGAATTCCATCTGCACCAATACCCCAGGAAGCTTCAGGTGTGAATGTGGAGAGGGTTGGTCAGGCGATGGTATCAAGTGTTCTGGTAAGAAGTCTGTGCTTTACACCTGAGCTTGCAAGGTAATATCAATAAGGAGGGATAAACATGACCAATTATTGCACTTGAGCATTTTTGTTCATTTAAAGCAAACATTGCAGGGACAATCAGTGCAGGTGACTGGCTCAGTTGGTTGCAATAGAATTAAGGAAGAGCAACACAGCACAGACACTGGCCGTGTGTCTGGTGTTTATACTCCACACCAGACTACACACCTCGTCCCCTCATCAAGTGACATCGCAACACTTCCTGCATATGTGCAAAAGATACAGGAAGTGTTGTCAGTAGCAACTTGACAACCTGCAAGGTGGCCAGTGTTTATGGTTGAAACCCTTTCATCACCCCTTTATCACGCCTCCAAACTTTCCCTTAAAATTCCCTTTATTTATCACCCCGCCAAGCCCTCCCCCTCCTTCCTCCCTGACATCTCCACTCTCCTATCTTCCCTCTCTCTCCCTTTGCTCTGAACGCCTCCTCATCCTCAGCAACTTCAATCTCCACTTCACCGCCTCCTGCTCTACCTCTGCTGACTTTTCCTCCCTTATCTCCTCCCTCAACCTCTCCCTCCACATCCACTCCGTCACCCACGCCCACATCACCCCCTCGACTTGGTGATCACGCAGGGCCTCACCGTCTCGGACCTCACTATCATCGACAAAGCGATCTCAGACCATCACTTCTCCCTTAACTCCTCAATCCCTCTCCAAACCGCCACCCAACCCACCTCCATCTTCTACCGCCCTTGGATAAAAATCTCCCCCCCTCCCTCTCGGCTGCCTTACAGTCATCTGAACTTCTTTCCCTCTGGGCTTCCTCCCACAATGACCTATCCTCCTCGTTCACTCTTTTCCACAGCTCGCTCGCTCTCCACTCTCGATTCCCTCACTCCCTTCTCTTCTCGAACTGTCTCCTATTCACCTAATTCACCACAGTATACCAGCCTCCGCTCCCTTAAAGTACAGGTGTGTGCCACTGAAAACGCCTGGCTTAAATCAAACTGAACGGTCCATCGACAGATCTGGCTGGATCTTATCAAATCTTACCGCTCTAGCCACACCTCCACTAAATCGTCGTTCTACTCCAAGACAATCTTGGAACCCAAGGACAGCCCCAGGTTCTTCTTCTCCATCACCAACTCATTCCTCCGCCCACCCTCTCATGCCTCACTCATCCTCACCTCAAATGCAAACTGCGAGGCGATGCTGGACTTCCTGAAATCCAAAGTTGAGGGGATTCACTCAGCCTCTGCCATTCCGTCTGCTACACCTCCCCATCTCCCCATCACACTCTGCCCCCTGCCCATTCCTCCCTCTACACCTTCTCTCTCACCACCACTATAACCCGCATGAAACTGACCACCTGCTCCCTCGATCCCATCCCTACCCCTCTCCTTACCTCCCAGCTCCACCTCCTTGCCAACCCTACTCACAGACAACATAAACCTCTCCCTGTTCACTCTCATTATAAACAGCCGTCATCACACTTAACCTTAAAAACCCTCCCTGGACCCATCCCTGATCTCAAGCTACCCCCCATCTCCAACCTCCTTTCCTCTCCCAAGATCCTGGAACGAGTCGTTGCTTCCCAGCTTCACTCCTTCCTCTCCCGCCACTCCCTTCACAAACCCCTTCAATCGGATTTCCGGGTCACCCGAAGCACAGAAATAATCCTGGTCAAAGTGACAAATAACATTCTGTCCATCTGCGACCAAGACTCCCTCCCTTTGACACCATTGACCACTTTAATCTCATCCACCGCCTCTCCTCTCACCTCAACCTTCACAGTTCTGTCCTTGACAATAATAATAATATTATTATTATTATTGACTGGTTCAGATCATGCCTCTAACACCATCTCCAATTCATCACTACAAACAGCTTCTCCTCCAGCCCCCGCACCGTCACGTGTGGCGTTCCTCAGGGCTCTGTCCTTGATCCCTCCTCTTCAATATCTATACGCTCCCTCTTGGTGACATCATCCACAGATATGGGGTCACCTCCCACATGTATGCGGATGACACCCAACTCTCCCTCTCTGCCCCCACCCTGGACTCCAGGACCCACTGCTGTCCTGACACAATGTCTGTCAGACATCAAGTCCTGGATGAGAGCAAACTTTCTTCAGTTGAACGTCAACAAGACCGAGGCTCCTGATTGGCTCCGGTCAATGCCTCCTCACCTCAGGCACTGACAGCATCACCATCCATGGGGCTCACTCCCCCTCACTGAGCCAGTCCGGAAACTTGGGGTCTTGTTTGACCCTCAACTGTCCTTTCTACCCACATCTGTGCCATGACCGCTCTGCCCTCTCCACCTCCGCAACATCACCACCCGGCTCCGGCACCGTCTCACACCGCAAACCGCCAAAACCCTCACACACACCTTCATTACATCAAGGCTTGACTATGGAAACTCATTCCTTGTCGGCCTCCCAACTCCTCCCTCCGCAGGCTGCAGATCATCCAGAACTCTGCAGCCCGTGTCCTCTCCTGCACAAGGCTCCATGATCCTATCAAACCCATCCTCACCCACCAGGCTCCGTGACCCTATCACCCCCATCCTCTCCCCCACCAGGCTCCGTGACCCTATCACCCCCATCCTCACCCCCACCAGGCTCCGTGACCCTATCACCCCCATCCTCACCCCCACCAGGCTCGGTGACCCTATCACCCCCATCCTCACCCCCACCAGGCTCCGTGACCCTATCACCGCCATCCTCACCCCCACCAGGCTCCGTGACCCTATCACCCCCATCCTCACCCCCACCAGGCTCGGTGACCCTATCACCCCCATCCTCACCCCCACCAGGCTCCGTGACCCTATCACCCGCCATCCTCACCCCCACCAGGCTCCGTGACCCTATCACCCCCATCCTCACCCCCACCAGGCTCCGTGACCCTATCACCCCCATCCTCACCCCCACCAGGCTCCGTGACCCTATCACCCCCATCCTCACCCCCACCAGGCTCCGTGACCATATCACCCCATCCTCACCCCCACCAGGCTCGGTGACCCTATCACCCCCATCCTCACCCCCACCAGGCTCCGTGACCCTATCACCGCCATCCTCACCCCCACCAGGCTCCGTGGCCCTATTGCCCCCATCCTCGCCTGACTCCACTGGCTTCCCATCACACAGAGGATACAGTTCAAGACCCTGGTCCTCACCTTCAAAGCCCTCCATGGTCTTGCTCTCCCTGACCTCTGGGGCCTCCTAACCCCCTACCATCCTGTTCGCTCCCTCCGCACAGCGGGCTCCGACCTGCTTCACGTCCCCCACCTCGCTCGCCCCACTATTGGTGGGTGAGCCTTCTGCCCCCACCCTCTGGAACTCCATCCCTCAGTCCCTCCACCTCGCCCCCTCCCTTGCCACCTTCAAGACCCAGTTCAAAACCCTCCTCTTCGATCGTACTTCAATCTCTCTGCTTCCCCCCCACCCTCCCCAACCCCCAGCTCAGGTCCAAAACACTGAGTGTCCAGCGCCTTGGGATGTCCTCCCAATGTGAAAGGCTCTGTGTAAATGTAATATTGCTGGTGGTGTAGAATCTGGTCAGTGTGGGCTCATGGCAGGCCAGCCTGCTCTCAGTGCGGTCTAACCGGTTCGATTTTGTGTCGTGGTTTTGGAGATGTTATTTGAAGTTGAACATTTATTATTGTACATTCTTTTCCCTCTAATCTTATCACTTTTTTTGTAAAGATGTGGACGAGTGTTCAAATGGAACCCATAAATGCAGCACCAATGCCGAGTGCACAAACAATGCAGGTTCCTACCGCTGTCTGTGTAAAGAAGGTTACAAAGGAGACGGCCTGACGTGTACCGGTAAATCAGATAAGTCATCTGCTTATTCTCCTCGCGCACCAGCTCTCATATTGGAATCATAGAATAATAGAATTATACAGCGTAGATAGAGGTCATTCAGCCGATCGTGTCTGTGCTGCTCTTTGAAAGAGCTTCCAAATAAATCCGACTCCCCCTCTCTCTCCCCATAGCCCTGATCAACCCCACTCCCCCGCTCCCTCCCCATAGCCCTGATCAACCCCACTCCCCTGCTCCCTCCCCATAGCCCTGATCAACCCCGCTCCCTCCCCATAGCCCTGATCAACCCCACTCCGCTGCACTCTCCCCATAGCCCTGATCAACCCCACTTCCCCCCTCTCCCCTCCCCCCATAGCCCTGATCAACCCCACTTCCCCGCTCTCTCCCCATAGCCCTGTACCCAAGTCCAGGTCATTTATATAGATCACAATACCGACCCCAGGGGACACCACTGTACACTTCCCTCCAGTCAGGAAAGCAACTGTTCACCACCACTCTCTGCTTCCTGTCTCCCAGACAGTTCTGTATCCGCTGCCACTTTCCCTTTAATACCGGGGGCTTCTACTTTGCTTACAAATCTCTTATGGCTTTATCTCTGTTACTTCATCAAAAAACTGCATCAGGGATAGACACGATTTGCCTTTAACAAATCCTTCTTCGCTGTCTTTTGTTAACCCATATTTTTCTAAGTGAAAATTTATCTTGTCCCGGATTATAGTCTCTAGAAGTTTCCCCACTGACTGGCCTGTAGTTCCTGGGTTTATCTTTCTGCCCCTTTTTGTACAGGGAGTAACATTAGGCACCACCGGGTGTCCAAGGAGGATTGAAAGATTGAAAGAGTCTTCACTATTTCCATCATTGCTTCCCTCAGTAACCTAGGATGATCCCATCCGGACTGGGTGTCTTATCTACCTTGAGCACCGACAACCTTTTTAGGACCTCCCTCGGTTTATTCTTATCTTATCTAATTTCTCTACCCTCTCCTCCAATATTGCATTGGCTGCATTCTCTTCTGTTGTGAAGACAGATGCAAAGTCCTCATTCAGTACGTCAGCTATGCCCTCTGCCTCCACAAGAATATTTCCTCTTTGGACCCTAATTGGACCCACCCTCCCTTTGACAAACATTTTGTTCTTTATATGCTTATAAAATACCTTCGGTATCCCTTTTATGTTACCCGCTGATCCTTTCTCATACAATCTCTTTGCCCCTCTTATTTCCTTTTTCAGTTTTCCCCTGTACTTTCTGTATTCTATTTGATTATCTTCTGTATTTTGGACCCGACATTTATCGTAAACCTCCTTATTCTCTCTTATTTTAATCCCAATTTTCTTATTCACCCAGGGAGGTTTGGATGTCCTACCTTTCCCATTTGCAGGAATGTATTTGTTCTGTCCCCGAACTATCTCCGCCTTGAAGGCTTCCCGTTGCTCGTTAGTTGTTTTACTTGCCAATCTTTCTTTCCAGTCCTTTTGGCTAGGACCCTTTTTAATAATAATAATCCTTGCATTTGATATAGCGCTTTTCACGTCGGGAGGAAAGCGCTTCACAGAACACACTGTAAAGTGAATTGACTGTATATTTGTGGGCGAACGCGGCAGCCAATTGCGCACAGCAATGACCCACAAGCAGTCGTGGATTGAAAGTGACCAACTTATTATTGTTTTTTTTTGGAGGGATTATTATTAGGCTCTGTGTGGAGAACGGAAACTTGCCCAAGGTTTCGCCCTCTGCCTGGAGTTGAACCCAGGTCTCTCGCTTGCAAAGCGAGGGCTCTAACCACTGAGTTACAGGACTCCACGATGTAACTCCCTGAAATTAGCCTCTTCCAGTTGAGTATCTTCACCTTTGATTGTTCCTTATCCCTTTCCATATGTACTCTAAAGCTAATGAGGTTGTGATCACTGTTGTCCACATGTTCTCCTACTGAAACCTGCTCCACTTGCCTCACTTCATTCCCCAAAATGAGATCCAGCACTGCTTCCTTCCTCGTTGGGTTGGAAACATACTGATCCAGAAGGTTATCCTGCACACATTTCAGGAATCCTCCCCCCTCCTTGCCCTTTACACTGTTATTTTGCCAGTCTATGTTAGGATAACTGAAGTCCCCCATTACTCTGTTGGTTTTACATCTTTCTGAAATCTGCTGCAGATTTGCTCGTCTTGTCTCCTTCCCACTATTTGGTGGTCTATAGTTTACACCTAACAGAGTAACAGCTCAGTTTCTGCTCCTTAACTCTAACCAAATAGATTCTGTTTCTGTACTCTCTCGCACATCGTCCCTTTCCAGAGCCGTAACCGTGTCTTTAATCAATATTGCACACCCACCACCTCCTTTTTACCCTTCCCGATCCCTCCTGAGTACATTGTAGCCAGGAATATTCAGCTCCCATTCCTGCCCTTGTTTGAGCCAGGTCTCCGTTATTGCCACTACATCATAACCCCATGTGGTAACTTGAGCTGCAGATCACCAAGCTTATTTGTCAACTCTGTGCATTTACGCACATGCACTCCAAGACCGACTGAGTCTGCTCTGCATTTCTCCCCCGTCTAATCCCTCCCTTTTCTGGATTACTCCTGTTTACATTGCTATTCGTCTCTCCCAGCTCTCTATGTAACTTGTTTCTCCTCTCTAATGCTACATCCTGATTCCCTTCCCACCTCAAAATTAGGTTAAACCCTTCTCCACAGCACTAGTTAACCTCCCTGTGAGGAACATTGGTCCCAGCCCTGTTCAGGTGTAACCCACCAACCTTGTACAGGTCCTACCTGCCCCAGAACTGCCCTAATGATCCAGGAACCTGAAGCCCTTCTTTCTGCACCATTTCTCCAGCCATGTGTTCAATCCTCCTGTTTTGATACTCACTTGCACGAGGCACTGGGAGTAATCCAGAGATCACCACCTTTGAGGTCCTAGTCTTTAGCTTTTTCCCGAGCTTCTGATACTCTCCCTGTGGGATCTCAGCCCTTTTTTTCCCTACATCATGGATCCCAACATGGACCACGACTTCTGGATGTTCCCCTTCCCCCTGTAGAATGTTTTGCACCTGTTCTGTGACGTCTCCAGCACCTTGGGATGTCCTCCTGACATGAAAGGCACTCTATAAATATAATTTTGTTGTTGTCTTCAACCCTGGCACCAGGGAGGCAACATCCCATGTGAGAGTCACTTCTTTGGTTGCAGAAACGCCTGTCTTCTCCTTTCATCATTGTGTCCCCAATGACAATTGCATTGACGCTCTTCCCTCTGTCCCCCTGTGCATCCATTTGCTTTTGACTCCCCTCCCCAGAGGTACCATCACCCTGACCGGTATTCAGTACAGAGAACCGGTTTGTGGTTGCCACACTCTCAGGAGATTTCTGTGCTGCCCGTCCGCTTTTCCTCTCATGCCGGGTGGTTACCCCATCACTCTCCTTCTGGGCCCTCTGTGGCTGTGGGGTGTGACCACCTCCTGAAACGTTTGATCCGTGAACTCTTCAGCCTCACGTCCTCCATGTAGTGACACCAGCCTCTCCTCGAGCTCAGAAACCCTGAGCTAAAGCTTGAGCAGCCGGAGGCACTTCCTACACACGTCTGTCCAGGAGTTCCCGCATGGCACACATTGTGCAGGCAACCGGTCTCAGCTGCCCTGCATATCCCCAGACATGTTTTATATTGTTTTAATATAATTATTGTATATTTTATAATTCTGCACCTCATTCCTTCTCTTCACCGAATTCCCACTGTCACCAAATTCTTAACAGAATTCTCACTCTGCTCCCTCCCCACACTGCCGGGCTCTCTGCTCAAGTTCACACCCCAGCTCACACACAGGCTATCGCTGTACGAGTGCCCTCACCCAGCCCAGCGTGAGGCAATCCCAGTGTCCATGTCAACCTGTATTTATAGTAATACTATCCACTGATTTCATGGAATTTTATTACCAGGAACCTTTGACTTGACTTGTCCCTGTGCTTGGTTCTGACCAATGTTCTGGCTTTATTAACTCTTTTTTTCTGGGTTATCACAGACATTGATGAATGTGCAGAAAACGTGAACTTTTGTGAGAATGGCCACTGTCTGAACGCTCCGGGCGGCTACCGCTGTGAGTGCGACATGGGCTTCACACCAGCTGCTGATGGCAGAGCCTGTCAAGGTTTGTGTGGGGGGAGTTGATGGTGTGTGGGTGGGGTGTTGATGGTGTGTGGGGGGGGCTGGGAGCAACACCACCCAGACTGTGGCTCAGCCAGACTATAATCTATGCTAATAAAGATGAAGTGTCGGCCTGTATCAGTGTAGCCAACAATCACGCAGTCGCTGATTGACGTTGTGTCAGTCTGCATTCCATGTTGGATGCGTTGGCTGTAAATGGCGCTGCCATGGGTGTAGCTGATCCTATAATAATCCTTGCATGTCATATTGTGTCTTATCACGTGTTCGAGACAAATCAAAGTTCTTCACAGGATAGACGGTGACTGTAGATTTTGGGTAACTCCGTTTTTGTCTCTGTTGTAGATATTGATGAGTGCCAGTTCCCAGATATTTGTGTGTACGGACGATGCCAGAATCTCCCAGGGCTGTTCAGGTGTGAGTGTGATGTAGGTTATGAGCTGGATCGAAGTGGTGGGAACTGCACAGGTGAGCTACTCCTCATGTTCCTCACCACATCTGACTTGTCACACTCTCACTTCCCTTCAAACACCCTGTAAACCCCCAAACCCCGAACATCAATGCCCCCTGCCTTCCCTCACCAGGATTCTGGAACATTCCTCTCACACAGCATGTTGGACCACTGAGACCAAGGCTCCCTCTGCCTCCTTGTCCTCCTTGGCCTCTCCACCACTTTCAGCACCATTGACTATATCCTCCTCGATCGCCTGTGCTTATTCATCGCCTCCGAGGGACCTCACTCCCTTGACCCCCGCCTCCACTCCATCTCCTCTAATGGTTTCCCTCCTGCCCTCTCCTTACACAGTCACCTACGCAGTACCTCAGGGCTCTATCCTCGGCCCTTCCATTTCCTCAGCTACACTCTCCCTGTTGGGGCTTCATCCGCAGACACGGGGTTAACTTCCTGTGTTATGCGGAAACACCAAAATCTAGTCTTGTTTCCAGCGTTTGTGACGCCGCCATCAGCCACACGGCCTGGGGTTGTAGAAAATCCTGTAGCTCAGCAAGATGGCAGCCGCCCTCCTCAGCCCTGCCAGTGTTTCCTCACTCCCACCGTCTAACATGACCTCCCGCCCGCTCGGCCTACCCTGCAAACCCAACAAACCAATACACAGCTATGTTGAACCTCAGCTCCTTCATATCCTCCCCCACCACAGCTACTGTGCCCTGCAAACTCCCCACCACCGGCTCCTGCCGCTGCCCTGGGTGGATGTTCACCAGAAAAGAAGGAAGGGAGGGAGGGGTTTGAATGGTGGAAATGGTCACAGGCTACAGAAAATAACCCACCAGGCTGCCTGTTGAACCGACATTGATCGAAAGGATGGGGGAAGGTGTTATATCAAATCCAGGGATTTTTTAATCATCTGATACAAACCCTGTGTGTGCTTCCCTGGTGTCCCTGCTGTCAAATCCACCATAGTAATGTAGCAGGTTACAGGCTTCTCCATCTCTTGCAGACACCAACGAGTGTGCAGATCCCGTCAGCTGCATCAATGGAATTTGTGTGAACACCCCCGGCAGCTATGTGTGTAACTGCCCCGCGGAGTTTGAGCTGAACCCAACTGGTGTGGGATGTGTGGGTAAGGCACAGATCATGTCAAATCATCCACTTCAGTCTGGCAGTGGGTGCTCACTGTGGGCAGGAGCTGCTTGTCCACAGGAGGAGTCGAGTCCCTCACATGTCAAGCAGGTCACAGGGCTGATGGCTGTTCACCACTCACCCCAACACAAGCAGCCAGGTCAGGCCAACAGTCAGTGGGGGACAGCAGACAGCAGGCTGGTCCTATCCTGTCTGATATTCAATGAAAGAAATAACTGACAGAAAGGCTGTGTGTCAAGATGAGCCGAGGCACCATTGGAGTCCAGTTTACCTTTGCTTCATGGCCTCTCAGTGTCAGATCGAGAGGCTGGAGGGTGGCTGAGTGTTCGCACAGTGGTTAGCTGGTTTCCAGGGGCCTGTGCAGATTTGGTCTGGAGCCCTGTGACAGCAGACAGTGTGCAAATGCTTCAAGACAAAGTCGGAAGCTTGTGGAGAAACATTTGCTTTTAATTCTGTTCAGGATGTGGATATTGAACAGTTAATATTGAGTATTCCTCAGATTTTGTACAATGCCCTGTGTGCTGTGTATTTTGACATAATTAAAAACAAATGTAGAGAAGTTTGGAATCGTGGTTGCACAGCTGAGTGAATAACGTGTAAGCCTTTGGGAATTTAACTGTTACCAGAACAAAGCTAGACTTGGATTTCAACAAATCAATCTCTGGGCGAGCTCCTGAACAGCCCCAGGAAATAGACAGAAAGAGGCTCTACAATAGGGGCAAAGCACTGCAGATGCTGGAAATCTGAAATAAAAACTGAAGTTACTGGGAACACTCAGCAGGTCAGGCAGCATCTACAGAGAGAAGAAAATGAGTTAACGTTTCAGGTTGATGACCTTTGGTCACTTTCCTCTCTCCGTAGATGCTGCCTGACCTGCTGAGTGTTCCCAGCCACTTCTGTCTGTATTCTATAATTTAGAAGTTCTTTTTCCATAATAATTCATAACAACTCAAATCTCTTTTTTTTACAAAATGGAAATCACTTCCAGGAATTCAGGAATATTTCTGTCAATGTTTGAATAAGGGAAAGTGAAAGATCAACCCTTGTGATCAGGGCAGTGTGTTCCAGCCCAGTATCAGAGACAAGTCACTGACTGCGTCACTCACACACATTTCACTTGATTCAAGCTCATGTTTTGGGCCATTAATATAATGGGACAGGAACAAACCTAAACACATAACACAGGTCATCAGCCAAGTCAGTCTACTGAGCTGAGTGATGGGGTGACATGCCCTCATGCCGCTCTGTCCCAGTGACAGGCTGTGTTTTTGTTGAGTGAGCACTTTGTGAGTATGGAACAGGTGCAATTGCAAAGAAAACATTTATTATGACTTTATGACATTTCTAACAAATGTGCAGAAAGTTTCTCTGTGAGCAGGAAGCTGGTGACCACAAACATATCAAATCGAATAAAACTGTCTTCTGCCTGGTCCAATGTAAGGATGTGCAGTGTGACCATCACTGTCATTAGCTGTCAGCAGTGGGTGTTCCTGGATGAAGGTGTCAGTTTAAATTGGGATTGGGTGTCGTTGCTCTTGGTGTGGAGCCTGTGGCATCGATCTTTATTCTCCATAATAGGACGCACTAACCACAGAGTGAGCTTTATAAGAGAGAGAGTGAGCAAAGTTCTAGATATACCCCTCACACACATACAGTGTGACACACACACAGACACACAGCATCTTACACACAGACACACAGCATCTTACACAGACACACAGCGTCACACACAGACACACAGCGTCTCACACACAGACACACAGCGTCTCACACACAGACACACAGCGTCTCACACAGACACAGAGCGTCTCACACAGACACACAGCGTCTCACACACAGACACACAGCGTCTCACACACAGACACACAGCGTCTCACACACAGACACACAGCGTCTCACACAGACACACAGCGTCTCACACACACACAGCGTCTCACACACAGACACACAGCGTCTCACAGAGTGTAACACAGATACCTACACAGCGTGTCACAATTATTACACAAAGGTAATATTCTCAGTAACATCACTAATGGCTCAGATGTAAGGATTGTTATTAATCTCAGTAATAACCTGAAGGTGTGTGATGTGCTCTCCGTGTTACAGACCTGCGCCTGGGCAAATGTTTTGTGGAGTACAGACTGCGAGGTGATGAGACGCTCTCCTGCAATAATGAGATTGGATTCGGAGTGTCACGAGCTTCTTGCTGCTGTTCCCTGGGCCGAGCCTGGGGCTTCCCATGTGAATTGTGTCCCAGCATTAATTCATGTAAGAGCTTGGAGGATTCCGTATTCCTGTGAGATTGAGAACTGTTTATAATCAGATTTGTGTTAACACCGACATTGTATCAGGTCTCATTGGTCTCTGTGTTGTACAGTGAGTGACCAATTACTTTTGTTTATAAATATATAATATACTTTGGATCACACGTATTTCCTTCAGAATACCACTATTGTTCACTAAAGGGGAACTGGGGGCAAATGAAGCATCTTATTCTCTCTATTTCATAAGTCATAATAAAGCATTTTGCCAGCTCAAAATGGTTTCTGTTGCTTTACAGTTTAACTACTGTGAGCGATTATTATATAATTATTAACTGTTATTCATGACTATAAAGATGTTGGAGTCTGACAATGCTGTGATGGTTGTGGGAGTTTGTGCTGTGTGAGCTGTGTTGATGACACTTGCTGGTTTCTGTTTTCAGCTGATTACAAAACGCTGTGTCCTGGAGGAGAAGGATTCCGTCCCAACCCCATCACCGTCATCCTGGAGGGTAACTCACTTTCTCTATGTCCTGCTGTGAGTGACAGCCCAGCTGCACTAACTGCAATCAAACCCCTCTCCCCCTATTCTCCACAGATATCGATGAGTGTAAGGAGTTACCTGGCCTCTGTCAGGGAGGAACATGTGTCAACACCTTTGGTAGTTTCCAGTGTGAATGTCCCCGTGGTTTCCACCTGAATGAAGAGACTCGAGTCTGTGAAGGTACAGTCAACCTCGAGTGACCATCACAGAGAACTTTCATATCCTCACAGCTTCCATGGCCCGAGAGACTGTTCAACAACAACCACAACTTGCATTTACACAGTGCACCTCACATAGGGCAGCGTCCCAGGGTGTTTGACAGCAGCGGAGCCTGACACCGAGCCGGGACTGTAAGGGATAATAGAAAACCTTGAGTTTTCTTGCATCTTTCAGAATAAACCTTTTTTTATAAAGTTTTCCAGAAATGATTTTTTCACATAGACCAGGTACCTGGAAACTAGCAGTGACTGTAATATTATTATTAATAATAATGATGATAACAATAATCATAATGATAATATTGATAATAATAACAATAATAACAATAAGGATAATAATGAGAATGATAACAAAATAATAATGATAATTATAATGATGATAATAAATTATACTTAATTTCGCCCAACAAATATAGTCAATTTGAAGACATAAGCTCCACATCAAATGCAAGAATTATTATTATTATCTCTATAATAATAAATCCCAATGAAACTTACACCTTATTTTAGTGTGAAACTATGGATTATTCATTTGATGCAAAATCTTGGTTTGACTTTTCCTCTCTTTTAGATATTGATGAGTGCTCCACATCACCTGGGATCTGTGGCCCTGGGACCTGTCTCAACACAGTGGGAAATTACACCTGTATTTGCCCACCAGATTACATGCAGATCAACGGTGGAAACAACTGTATGGGTGAGAACTGAGCAAGATAACAAATGGGGGGGATAAAAATCTCTGCTGTACATTGATTGAATTATGATTTGATTGAATCTCTGACTGCGGTTTCATAACGTTCATCCTTTGCACCTCGCAGACATAAGAAAAGGTTTCTGCTTCAAAAACTTTTATGGTGAAAATGGCACTTGTGACGGTGAACTGCCCTTTAACATGACGAAGAAACTGTGCTGCTGTTCCTACAACATTGGGAAAGCTTGGAACAGACCCTGTGAGCAATGCCCACTGCCCGTGACCAGTAAGTCTGTACACACCACAAACCTTTCCATTCAAAACCTGGCTGTGTATTCCACTGGCAGTAATTGCACCAAATCACCTTTCAGATGAATATGTGGTTCTTTGTGGGAGTCAGCGACCCGGCTTCACCATTGATATTGTCACAGGACGGCCAGTGGGTAAGATTGCCTCTTGTTCTATGTTTCACGCTCTTAAATAATGAAGTTTAAAATACTGTATGTAAATCACTTGTTGAAATGTGACTGACTGAGCCTCATGTTCCGGGAATGTGTTTAGTGACGTTCATTTACCACAATCTGAATGAGTAGGCAGAGTGGGTGAGAGAGCGCGAGTGAGAGGGAGAGCGAGTGAGCGGGAGAGCGAGAGAGGGGGAGAGCGAGTGAGCGAGAGAGGGGGAGAGCGAGAAAGGGGGAGAGCAAGTGAGTGGGAGAGGGAGTGAGCAGGAGAGCGAGTGAGGGGGAGAGCGAGAAAGGGGGAGAGCAAGTGAGTGGGAGAGGGAGTGAGAGGGAGAGCGAGTGAGGGGGAGAGGGAGAAAGGGGGAGAGGGAGAAAGGGGGAGAGGGAGTGAGGGGGAGAGCGAGTGAGGGGGAGAGCGAGTGAGGGGGAGAGCGAGTGAGGGGGAGAGCGAGTGAGGGGGAGAGCGAGTGAGGGAGAAAGGGGGAGAGGGAGTTAGCGGGAGAGGGAGAGAGCGAGAGAAGGGGAGAGCGAGTCAGTGGGAGAGCGAAAGAGAGGGAGAGGGGGAGAGCGAGTCAGTGGGAGAGCGAAAGAGAGGGAGAGGGGGAGAGCGAGTCAGTGGGAGAGCGAAAGAGAGGGGGAGAGCAGGAGATTTCTCAGCGCTAAACTGCACAATATGTTGGGGGCGGCCGGAGGTTTACAAATGTCACTGACACGAGATCTGCTGTGTTTGCTGAATGTCCTCTCGAGGTGTGGAGGGGCATAACCCCCACACACACACCCTCCCCCACACGCGCCCTCCCCCACACGCGCCCTCCCCCACACGCGCCCTCCCCCACACGCGCCCTCCCCCACACGCGCCCTCCCCCACACGCGCCCTCCCCCACACACACGCACCCTGCCCCACCCGCGCACCCTACACACACCCCAGCCCCGCACACTCTGACACACAACTACACGCACATACACACCCTCACACACATCCACACATGCAACTATACACACCCACACATACTCAAAACACATCCATACACACGCACCCCCACACACATCCCCACACATATCAACACACACCCTTTCACACACCCAGATAAACACCTCATAACAACCACACCCACATACACACCCCCTACACAAACCCCTAAACCACACACACCCACACACAGACCCCAATCACACCCCACACGCACACCCCACAAACACCATACTGACACTCCCACCAAACCCACCCCCCCCCCCAGTAGCACCCACCCACACACCCCACAATCCCCCCACCCACAAACATCCAGCCACACACACACCCACACACACCCTACAAATTATGAATGTGACCCCATTATTTAAGGGAGGGAGAAACCCCACAAATCCTCTCCCCACAAACACATATCCCCACACACACACCACCACACATACACCCCCACACACAACACACACACCACCACACACACCTTCACACACACACCACCACACACACCCCCACACCCCCCCCCACACACACACCACCACAAACACACACCACCACAAACACACACCACCACAAACACACACCACCACAAACACCACCACACACAACAGACATACCACCACATACACACCCACACACACAACACACACACCACCACACATACATACCCCCACATAACCCCCCCACACACACACACCCCCACACACACACCCCCACATACACCCCCACATACACCCCCACATACCCTCCCACACACACACCCCCACACACACACACCCACACACCCCCCCACACACCCACATACCCCCCCACACACCCACATACCCCCCCACACACACACCCACATACCCCCCCCCACACACACACCCACATACCCCGCCCCACACCTCCACCCCCACACCTCCCATACCCCTCCACACCCCCCCACATATACCCACACACACCCCTACCCCCCCCCACACACACCCCCACACACCCCTACATCCCCCCACACACACACACCCCTACCCCCCCACACACACACCCCCACACACCCCTACCCACCCACACACCCCTACCCCCCACCACACACACCCCCACCACACACACCCCTACCCCCCACACACCCCTACCCCCCCACCCACACACACACCCCCACCCACACACACACCCCCACCCACACACACCCCTACCCACACCCCTACACACACCCCACACCCCCTTCTGAATTTGAAGAAATAAAACAATTCTTTTTATTTTACTTCTGTTCCTACAAATAACTGCGGTTTCCTTCCCCTCAGACATCGACGAGTGCCGAGTATCGGGAGTCTGTGCTCACGGGGTTTGTATCAATCAGTTCGGGAGTTTCCGGTGTGAATGTCCGATGGGATTCCAGTACAACGATCACCTCATCAGCTGTGAAGGTGAGAGAGGGACCGATCACCTGATCGGCACCGACTGAGGAGTTCAATCACTTTGATTGATATTATCCGCTGAAAGGAGGACATCCGCACTCAGCGACATGGGTTTATATAGTGCCCTCCACACCGGGGCTCACAGTAACATCCCGGGGCCGAGGGGGAGGGGGAGCCAGGGGGAGGGGCCGGGGGAGCCAGGGGGAGGAGCCGGGGGAGGGGCCGGGGGAAGGGCCGGGGGAGGGCCGGGGGGAGCCAGGGGGAGGGCCGGGGGGAGCCAGGGGAGGGCCGGGGGAGCTAGGAGGAGGAGCCGGGGGAGGAGCCGTGGGGAGGGGCCGGGGGGAGGGCCGGGGGAGCCAGGGGGAGGGGCCGGGGGGAGCCAGGGGGAGGGGCCGGGGGAGCCAGGGGGAGGAGCCGGGGGAGGGGCCGGGGGGAGCCAGGGGAGGGGCCGGGGGAGCTAGGAGGAGGAGCCGGGGGGAGGAGCCGTGGGGAGGGCCGGGGGGAGGGGCCGGGGGAGCCAGGGGGAGGGGCCGGGGGGAGCCGGGGGGAGGGGCCGGGGGAGTCAGGGGAGGGGCCGGGGAGCCAGGGGGAGGGGCCGGGGGAGTCAGGGGAGGGGCAGGGGGAGTCAGGGGGGGGCCAGGGGGAGGGGGGAAGCGAGGAGGAGGGGCCGGGGGGGGGGGAAGGTGACCAAAGGCGCCATCGAAAAGAAAGGTCTTCAGCCGAGACCTGAACATAGGAAGAGAGGGGGCGATGGGGAGGGGAGTGACGAAGGCAGTTCCAGAGCTTCGGCGCACAGTGGCTGAAGGCCTCTGGAGGGTGGAGCGGAGGACTCGGGGGACGAGGAGGAGGCCAGACCCGGGGGAACGAAGGCATCGGATACTGTGCTGAGGAGAGAGGTCAGAGAGGTCGGGGGGTGCAGAGGAGCGCAGGGACTTGAATACGAGGTGAGGGTCTTGAAGTGGATCCTCTCTGGGACAGGAGTCAGTGCAGTCTGGACAGGACTGGGGGATCGGGAGTGGGGTTTGGGTGTGGGGGGAGGGCCAGGACTGGGGGGATCGGGAGTGGGGTTTGGGTGTGGGGGGAGGGCCAGGACTGGGGGGATCGGGAGTGGGGTTTGGGTGTGGGGGGAGGGCCAGGACTGGGGGGATCGGGAGTGGGGTTTGGGTGTGGGGGGAGGGCCAGGACTGGGGGATCAGGAGTGGGGTTTGGGTGTGGGGGGAGGGCCAGGACTGGGGGGATCGGGAGCGGAGGTTCGTGGGGGTGAGAATGTGGGCGGTAGAGTTTTGAATGATTTGGATTGTATGGATGGTAGTGGAGGGGAGACCGGTGAGGAGGGCGTTAGAGTAGTGCAGCCGAGAGGTGACAAAGGGTTTCAGTAGCTTTTGGGGAGAGGTATTGGCGGAAACGGGCGATGCGTCGGAGGTGGAAGAAAGCAGTGCTGGTGAGGGACCGGATGTGGGGGAGGAAGGATAATTGGGGATCGAACCTGACGCCTGGGTTGCGTACAGGTTCAGAGAGTTTTAAGGGGAGGTCAGGTAGGTGGAGAAGGTGAGAGCCGTGAGATTTTAGAAGTTGACGAGAGCCAAAGAGTATGGCCTCTGTCTTGTCAACGTTCAGCTGAAGGAAATTTGTTCTGACAGGCAGCTGACAGAACATCAGGGGACTGGGGGTCGCAAAGAGAGGTGGAAAAATAGAGTTGGGTGTCGTCCGCGTACATGTGGAAATGTACCCCATGTCTGCGGATGACATCCCCAAGAGGGGGCATGTAGATCAGAAAGAGGAGGGGGCCAAGGATGGATCCTTGGGGTACCCGCAGGTGACCGGGTGAGAGAGAGAGGAGAAGCCGTTTATGCAAATGTACTGCTGGCGGTTTGTGAGGTAGGACTCGAACCGGGCGAGTGTGGTCCCACTGAGGTGGATGACGGAGGAAAGGCGGTGGATCAGGATGGCGTGGTCGACTGTGTCGAATGCGGCAGAGAGGTCCAGGAGGACAAGGAGGCAGAGGTTAGGGTATGAAATGTCCTGCTGGGAGCAGTGGTTGAGGCAGAATCAGTATTGGCTTCAAGGAGGCTCCAGACAGAGCCCTTAAAGAGAGTCAGGGATAGGGGTGTAAGGGGAGGGGGTTGGAGTGGCTGAATAAACAGGCTGTGACCATCAGGCATTGATTCATGATTCATTATGTTCTACCCTAGTTACCATCCGACATGTTCTGGCCTTGGCAAACTCTTGTCAGCCTGTGTTCTGGTGCTGAGCTGTATGTAGTTACAGACATAATGGGTTGTATGGCAGACAAGCTGTGTATGACCAAGGTGATCTTCTCTAGTGATAGCCAGTTGTTTCCTTGTCCCACTGCTCAGTTCCAATGTCCCATTGTTATAGTTATCATCAGATAATTTGTCCTCAGAGCTTCAGGTTCTGCACTGCTGACTATCAATGTTGACAGGACTTATGTCTGGTATAAACTTTATTCAGGGCACAGGCAGTGTGCGAACAATCAGAGACTGACCGTGGGAAAGCACACCATGTTTACTTTGAACTATAAGACACTATATATGTGTAATTTATTGTTGAATCTGAAGTTCAACAAAAGCCTTGACAAGTTACACAATTTCTCACAATAATATTTGCAACATTTGGTGTGAGTTTTCGATTAGCATTGCTGGCAGCAGGGATAACAACACATTGCCGTTGTATAGCGCCTTTCACATCAGGAGAACGTCCCAAGGTGCTGGACAGTGTCCAGCATTAGCATTGCTGGCAGAGCACAGGCTCCAGGCATGATAGGGTCTGTGGTTTGAGAGCACTGGCCAAGGTTTCCTCGGCTTGGCTTTGTGTCTAGATTATCTTAGTTCCCAACCTGCTGCACAGTGACGTGTTCATAGTGGCATGTATTTGCATGGGATGTGACTCAAATAGCAGTTCAGACCTGGCAGTGGCTGAGGTTTACAGATCCAGATCAGATAAAGGAGGACAAATCAGATACCCCAGAGAATACTCACATAACCTCTGGTGTGCGGAGGCGTGGAATGTTGTGGGAACGATGCTCTGTAGCGTTTGCCAGAAAGGCCTGAGTGTCGCTGTTCATCACATTAAGGAGGAATTATCAGGTCCGTGATGAACATGGACAAGATCTTCACAAGATGTTGTGTCCCAGCTCCGCTCCTTTCTCTCTCGCCATTCCCTCTTTGAACCCCTCCAATCCGGCTCTGCGCTGCCCACGGCACGGAAACAGCCCCGTGACAGTCACTAATGACATTCTGAACATCTGTGATCAGGGCTCCCTCTGCCTCCTTGTCCTGCTCGACCTCTCTGCCGCCTTCGACACTGTCGACCACTCCATCCTCATACACCGCCTCTCCTCTTTAATTCATCTTCACGGACCTGCCCTTGCCTGGATTGAATCCTATCTCTCTCACCGACTCCACTTTGTTGCCTCTAACGGTTTCTCCTCCAACCTCCACTGTCGCGTCTGGTGTCCCCAGGGCTCTGTCCTTGTCTCCTCTTTAATATCTACACACTCCCCCTCGTGTCATCATCCGCAGACATGGGGTCAACTTCCATATGTTTGTGGATGACACCCAACTCTATCTTTCTGCCTCACCCTCAACTCCAGGGCCACTGCTGTCCTGACAGACTGTCTGTCTGCCCCCACCCTCAACTCCAGGGCCACTGCTGTCCTGACAGACTGTCTGTCGGACATCAAGTCCTGGATGAGGGCAAATTTTCTTCAGTTGAATGTGAACAAGACTGAGGCCCTCCTGATTGGCTCACACCAGCGCCTCCGCACCTCAGGCTCTGGCAGCATCAACCTCCATGGTTGCTCACTACAACTCACCAACTCACCGCCAGTCAGGAACCGAGGTGTCTTGTTCGACTCTCAACTGTCTTTTCTCCCCCACATCCAAGCCATGACCCGCTCTGCCTTCCCTCACCTCCGTAACATCACCCGACTCCACCACTGCCTCACCCCTCAGACGCTGAAACTCTTGTTCACGCCTTCATCACCTCCAGGCTCGAGTATGCAAACTCCCTGCGTGTCGGCCTTCCCAACTCCTCCCTCCACAGCTGCAGATCATCCAGAACTAACTCTGCAGCCCGTGTCCTCTCCCGCACCAAACTCCGTGACCCCATCTCCCCCACTCTCGCCCGACTCCATTGGCTCCCTATCCTTCAGAGGATCCAGTTCAAGATCCTGGTCCTCACATACAAAGCCCTCCATGGCCTCGCCCCACCCTACCTCTGTGACCTCCTAACCCTCTACCAACCCGCCCGCTCCCTCCGCTCAGCCAACTCTGGCTGCTCCACGTCCCCCGACCCACCCGCCCCACCATTGGCGGGAGAGCCTTCAACCATTCTGTGGTGCCCAGTGTGAATGTTGCGCTGTTACATTTTTCTTTTACAAAATATTAATCACTTTGCAAATTATGATGTGAATTGTTTTGAGGTTCAACTTTTATTTTACTTTTGAAATGAAATAATTTTGGAATCAGTGCAGCTTTTTTAGAGGGGAAAAAAATGGCTTTGTGTTTGTGTGCTCCTGAGCCATTCCATTTGTTAAAGGCTGTTTTGTTCCTTAGATATTGACGAATGTCAGAACGGGCCAATGTGTCAACAGAACGCAGTGTGTATTAACACGCCAGGCAGTTACCGCTGTGAGTGTTTGCCAGGATACCGGCTCACACCAACGGGGCATTGTCGAGGTAGGTTGTATGGTTTTAAATCTAAATACAGCTGTGTGTTTTCTTTCTGACTGAAGCTTCTGCGCTCTTTCAGGTTGATTTCATTATTACCTGAAGTACAAAAACAATTAGCTTGAAAAAGAGTGAATTCTGGAGCCTAGGGCATTTACAGATTGGGTCTTACATTAACCTTCTCATTAACAGCCTGGCTTCAGTGCACAGCGCCATGTTTAATGGAGAAGTATTCATTTCCGACTGTTATTTTGCATCCAGAGTAAAGTACTAAAACACCAGCCAGGGAATGAGAATCTCTAAATGACAATATTGAAGCCAGTGGGGAGCCAGTATTTTACTCCTTTCAAATCAGTCATTAGCACTATTGTATTGCAATCACCTTCACAGGATGCTTGTCCTGTGAAGCTGATTGTAATACATACTTCACCAGAGTAACACACATTAACCAGAGAATCCCACACACTAACCAGAGAATCCCACACACTGACCAGAATAACACACACTAACCAGAACAACACACAGTAACCAGAGTAACACACTAACCACAACACACGTAAGCACAACACCCCAGTAAAAAGCCTAGTAAAAATCTCGCCAAATGATGCAGATCAAGTGAAGCAAATTCCACTACATTTTCTGTAAATCTACTTGTTTCTGATCACAAAGAATTTGGAAATTCTGTTTCTTGTTTGTACAGATCGTAACGAGTGCCACGAGATCCCGAATGTCTGCAGTCACGGGCAGTGTGTGGACACTGTCGGAAGCTTCCACTGCAACTGTTACAACGGTTTCAAAGCAACGCCAGATAAAACCATGTGCATGGGTAAGTGAACAGCAATCGCAGTGAGTGACTCATATATTTCCTGTAAGTTTGAAGTCTCCTATCTGAGCGCACTGACAATTCACTTTCCCTTTGTTCAGATGTGGATGAATGTGAGCGGCAGCCATGCGGCAACGGAACCTGTAAGAACACGGTTGGTTCTTACAACTGTGTGTGCTTTCTGGGATTCACCCTGTCCCATAATGATGACTGCATTGGTAAGTGGTGAAGAAAATAATAATTGTTAAGTTTGATCCAGCGGCTGTCACATCAGGAGGATGTCAGAATGTTTCCAGTAAACATTGTAAAGTGTAGTGACTGTGCGCTGTGTTTGTTTGTCTCACAGCATTGTATGTTTCCTGGTACATGTCCAGCTAGTGCTGACCCACGCTGTGGAGACACACAGACACGAATGCCTCGAGGGCCACAGCCTGGAGTCAATTCAAAGTATCTCCCCCAATAGTAGAGATGTCCGGGCAGCATCAGGCTGGGCTGGGGCAGTCATGGTGAACTGTTCCTGGTGGCTCAAGCCGAGCTTGTCAGACTCCACGCTAGGAATGCGCACTCTCTCTCTCTCTCTCTCTTCCTAGAGGGACATATCCTGTTTACCTAATTCTGGAAAGTATTAGGCACAGGTTGGCAAGAGCCAAGGCTTGGGGGGGCCCACAGTGTGTTTTGGGGTAACTGCTGGAGTCTAACCAGCTAAACCCACATAGCTTGCCATTGATATTGCTGTCTGACAAGCTTTCCCGCTGTCCCCCAGCTAGGACCAACCAACCTATTAGGGCTTTGGCTGCAGGGTTAACAAGAGCTGAGGGGGAAGGATTCTGTGGCCCAGTAACTGGTTGGCCCTTTCAGGTCCTGCCAATAAGCCAGGCTGAGCTATTCTGTCATCGACAGTGCCCTGAAATACTGCGGACCGGCCTGACTCCTGGAATACTGCGGACCGGCCTGACTCCTGGAATACTGCGGACCGGCCTGACTCAGGAACTGACCTAGAGAATGTTTTGAGTACCCAGATGGCAGGCTCCGTTCACCACTAAACACAAGACAGTCAGGGTGAGAAATGAGCCAAATATGCAAGTATCACCTGTGCGTTTGCTGTGTTGTTTCAGATGTTGATGAGTGCAGCACTCTGAATGGAGCTCTCTGCCGTCACGGCCAGTGTATCAACACCATCGGAACGTTCCAGTGCCTGTGTCACGAGGGTTACGAGCTGACACTGGACAGAAGGAGCTGTGTGGGTAAGTCTGTCAATGACCTGAGTTCTGACTTCAAGATGTAATGCAGATTCAGTTTTTGAATTCCTTATAACTTTTAGAAGAGTTTAATATTTTATAATAATGGTCAGATATTTTACTGTGTCTCGATTTACAGAAACTTCTTTTTTAAATACTCATTAGCGTGTTACCATCTGCAATGTTTCAGTCTCAGTATTTCAAAGATTTTCCTGATGGCAATGTCTGGCTTAGTGAGGTGGGTGTGAATGCTGCAATCCTCTGACATAGATGAGGAAGAGGGAATAGAGCTGCCGCATTTCACCCACAAAATATACAATCAATTCATTTTATAATATGTTCTACGAAGCACTTTGAGATGTCACAAAGATGTGATCAGGCGCTATATCAAATGCAAGTGTTATTATTATTAGAGGGGTAGGGAGAGGGGAAGAGAAGGGGTGGATCATAAACACTGGCACACACTCTATGTAATTATATGTAATTCCCATCTAATTTTACAGAATATTGTTCTTGAGGATTCTATATAAGTAGCAAATTGTGTGGAGATGGGGTTGAATTCAAAATGTTGCACTTTGAGGAATTCACAAACTAGGAGAGAAATGGAGAATATTGACTTGTCAGAGTAGGATTGTGTCCTTATTTTATGTTTCTTCTACTTATGTTACAGACACCAACGAGTGCCTGGCTATACCTGATGCTTGTAAACCAGGTAAATGTCAAAACCTGGACGGTTCCTACAGATGTATTTGTCCACCTGGCTATGAACTGACTCAGGAGAGGTGTGTGGGTAAGTGTCAGTAACATGGCCGTCTGTCACATCCAGCATTAACCCTGCGCTGAACACTGCAACAGATTTACTCATTGAGGCCTTGTTCAGACCAGTAATTCTGCTTGTTCATCCCCAGAGGATAAATAGAGAAAGATTTGTTAGGATTGTGATTTGGATTAAATATTTGAGGAGCACACACCCGCCCTGTCCAGCTCACAGCTCCCTCAAGCCGCCTAAACCCTTATCCACGGCCTCCCAAATCCTCCCTCCACAGGCTGCAGATCATTCCTTTCCCACACCAAACTTTGTGACCCTATCAGCCCCACCCTCGCCCAGCTCAACTGGATCCGCATCCTCTAGAGAATAGAATATAAAATCCTCATCCTCGCCTTCAAGGCCTTCCATGGCCTTGCCCCTCCCTATCTCTGCGACCTGCTGACCCCCATATCAACCTGTCCGCTCCCTTCGCTTAGCAGGCTCTGGCCTGCTCCATCTCCCCTGTCCAGCTCACCCCACCATCGGTGTTCGAGGTTTCAGCCTCTCTGCCCCCACCCTCTGGAACTCAATCTCACATTCCCTTCGCCTCTCTCCCTCCCTTGCCTCCTTCGAGGCGCATCTCAAGATCCTCCTTTTCGACCGAGCCTGTGGCCACCCTCCTACGCCCTTGCCCTCCACCCTCCCTGATTCCAACCCCAAGCGCGATTCCAAATCCCTGACTGTCCATCGTTTTGAGCTGTCCTACCAATGTGAAAGGCACTATACAAATTTTATTTTCTATTATCTGTGGAGTCCTGTAGCTCAGTGGTTAGAGCACTCGCTTTGCAAGTGAGAGACCTGAGTTCAATTCCAGGCGAAACCTTGGGCAAGTTTCCTTACTCCACACAGAGCCTAATAATAATCCCTCCAAAATCCCAAACAATAATAAATTGGTCATTTTTAATCTACGACTGTTTGTGGGACATTGCTGTGCGCAATTGGCTGCCGCGTTCGCCCACAAATATAGTCAATTCACTTTACAGTGTGTTCTGTGAAGCGCTTTGGGACGTCCTCCCGACGTGAAAAGCGCTATATCAAATGCAAGGATTATTATTATTGTTAACAGATATTGTGAATCTCGCTTTTCTCTCATACTATTCCCACAACAATTGAGAACAACAATCATTACTCCCCCATCCTCAAAAAACTTCACTTGACCCATTCTTTTTCTCTAACTACCATCCTATTTACAACATTCCCTTTGTTTCCAAGGTCCTGCAATGAGTTCACACTTTCCTCTCTGCCACTCCCTGTATGAACCTCGCCAATCTGGTTTCTATGCTGTCCATAGAACATAGACAGCCTTATTCAAAGTTACAAATGACATCCAGGGCTCTCTCTGTCTCTTCATCCTCTTTCTTTTTTCTTCACGCTTCTATCCTTGCCTGGTTTTAGTCTTACCTTTCCCATCGTCTGCACTTTGTTTTCACCAATGGCTTCTCCTCTAGCCCCTGCGTTGTCATGTGTGGCGTTCCTCAGGGCTCTGTCCTTGGTCCTCTCCTCTTTAATATTTACATGCTCCCACTTGGTGATGTCGTCAACAGACATGGGGTCAACTTCCATGGATGACACCCAACTCTATCTCTCTGCCTCCACCCTCAACTCCAGGACCACTGCTGTCCTGATGGTTTGTCGTCAGACACCTGGAAGAGAGCTAATTTTCTAAAGTTGAATGTCAACAAGACTGAGGCTCTCCTGATTGGCTCCCGTCAGCGCCTCCTCACCTCAAGCACTGACAGCATCACTGCGCACTCTCCACCTCACTGAGCCAGTACAGTCCTGTTCGACCCTCAACTATCCTTCAAATCCCACAATTATGCTATGACCCGTTCTACTGTCCCCCATCTCCACAACATTATCCGACTCCGCAACTGCCTTTCCCCCCAGGCTGCCCGGACTCTTATTCCCTTCACCTCCTCCTGCTCCATCTCCTCGGACTTCTCCTCCCTGCTCTCCTCGCTCAACCTCTCCCTCCACATAAACTCCGCCACTCACATTCATGGCCACCCACTCAATTTGGTGATCACCCGGGGCCTCAGTGTCTCGGATGTCACCATTACCGACAAGGCCGTCTCCGACAACCACTTCATCTCCTTCACCACCTCCACCCCCCTCTCCACCTCCACCAGACCCACCACCATCTTCTACCGCCCCTGGAAGAAGTTACCCCCACAGTCCCTAACCACTCCCTTGGAGTCCTCTGAACTCCTCTCCCTCTGGCCTTCAACCCTCACCGACCCCTCTTCTCCTCTCACCCTCCTCCACAACACCCTCGCCTCCACACTCGACACTCTTGCCCCCATCACCTCCCATACTGTCTCCTACTCTCGCTCCTCCCCCTGGTTCACCACCCACCTCCGCTCACTGAAGAGCCAGGTGCGGGCCACTGAACGCACCTGCGTCAAATCTGGCCTAACGGTCCACGGACAAATCTGGGTGGACCTCCTCAAAATCTACCGCTCCACTCCAGCCTCGGCCAAGTCGTCCTTCTACTCCAGGATAATCCTGGAGGCGAAGAACAATCCCAGGCTTCTGTTTTCTTCCACATCCCGTCCCCCCCGCCACCCCGCGCAGGTCATCTCCTCCAACCTTCACTGCGAGGAGATGCTGGATTTCCTTGAATCCAAAATCAAGGGAATCCGCTCCGCGGTCACTTCCCCTCCAATCTCCACCCACCCCCCACCCCTTCCCTCCCACACTCCGTCTCCTAGCCATCCTCCCTACACACCTTCGAACTCAGTTCCCCACCCTCTGTCACCAAACTCATCTGGATGGTCCCTGAAACCCACCACCTGCTCCCTTGACCCCATCCCCACTCCACTCCTTATCTCTCAGCTCCACCTCCTGCCCTACATATCACAGACATCGTCAATCTGTCCCTCTCCTGTGGCTCTGTTCCCATTCCCCTAAAAACTGCCACCATCACTCCCACTTTAAAAAAACCCTCCCTTGATGCGTCGCAGCTATCAAGCTACCGGCCCATCTATCGGCCGCATTCGATACGGTTGACCACGTTATACTCCTCCACCGCTTGTCCTCCCACCTCAACCTTCAAGGTCCTGTCCTTGAGTGGTTTAGGTCCTATCTCTCCCACCGTCTTCATTTTGTTTCCACCCACGTGGGTGCGGTGTCCCTCAGGGCTCTGTACTCGGTCCCCTCCTCTTCACCCTCTATATGCTCCCCCTGTGGTGACATCATCCGCAGACATGGGGTTAACTCCCACATGTATGCGGATGACACCCAACTCTACCTTTCCTCCTCTACCCTCAACTCCACGACCCCCGTTGTCCTGACAGCTATCTGTCCGACATCGAGTCCTGGACGAGAGACAACTTTCTTCAGCTCAACGTACGCAAAACTGAGGTCCACGCCTTTATCACCTCAAGGCTGGACTATGGGAACTCTCTCCTCGTCGGCCTTCCCGGTCCTCCCTCCACACTGCAGGTCATTCAGAACTCTGCAGCTCGTGTACTGTCTCGCACCAGGCCTCGCGCCCACATCACTCCCACCCTCACCCTCGCCCTCGCCCTCGCTCACCTCCACTGCTCCCCATCCCCCAGAGGATCGAATTCAAGATCCTCATCCTCACCTACAAGGCCATTAACGGCCTCGCTCCCTCCTACCTCTCTGACCTACTATCCCCCTACCTACCTGCCCGTAACCTCCGTTCCTCTGGCTCCGGTCTGCTCCACATCCCCCGCCCCAATCGCCCTACCATCAGTGGCCGGGCCTTCAGCCTCTCAGCCCCGAGGCTCTGGAACTCTATCCCCAGTGCCTTCGCCGCTTCCTCCCTTTCCTCCTTCAAGGCCGGTCTCAAGACCTTTCTCTTCGACCGTGCCTTCAGCTCCCCTCTCAACTCTCTACCTCCTCCGGACTTGAAAGGCACTCTATACATGAAATCTTGTTGTTGTTGTTGTTCCCACATTCATCACATCCAGGCTTTTCTACACAAATTTTCTACTTGCCGGACTCCCCAACTCTTTCCTCCACAAGTTGTAGATTATTCAGGACTCTGCAGCTCATGTCTTCTCTCGTACCAGGCTCCTTGAACCAATCAGCTCCACACTCACCCGGCTCCACTGGCTCCCCATCCCTCAAAATACAGTTTAAAACCCTCGTCCTCGCCTTCAAGGCCCTCGACTGCATTACTCCTTCCTACCTCTGAGACCTCTTAACACCATAGTATTGCACCACACTGCTCCCTCCATTCAGTGAGTATTGGCCTACTCTATGTCTCCACCCTATCCATTTACTCCTACAAAGCTCGTCTCAAGACCTTCCTCTTTGACTACGCCTTCGACCAGACTCCCATCCCCACCTCCCCTCCAACCCTCTTGATTCTAACCCTTGCCTCAGATATGGACTTTTAACTGTTCCACAATAACGACAACAAATTACATGTGTTCAGGGCCTTTCACATTGGTAGAACAATGAGGGATTTGGATCCTAGCTGGGGGTTGGTTGGGATTAGGAGGGGTGGAGAGCAGGGAGGGTTGGATCCAGAGCCTTGAGAGGTCCTCCTGAAAGACCCCATAAATGTAATTTGATGTTGTATTGTGGGCAGAATTTACTGTTGACTGACACACAGCCACTAATGGACTATCACTATCAGAAAACAGAGACTTGATCCTATCAGGAGCCTTGGAGGTGGATTATAATAGCAGTGTTTCCCTCTCCTCTCTACCTTCTTAACTTCTTGGCTAACATTGGTAAAGTTGTGTAATTGAATACCCTCTCATTTCATTTTGCAGATATTGATGAGTGTATATCAGACCCAGGGTTATGTGTCTTTGGCACATGTAGCAATACTGAAGGAAGCTTCAAGTGCCTTTGTCCATCGGGCTTCGTGCTGAACTACAGTGGAAGAAAATGTGTTGGTGGGTTGATGCTCTGTAGCGTTTAATTCTGGAGACGGGGAATTGGGATTAGGGTAAAAAGCTCCAATGGAGGAGTTAGCAGTGGAGGCATAGACTTGATGGGCTGAATGGCCTCCTCTTGTAATTTTTAGAGGAAACTTCATTGATTATAGAAAGAGAAAAAACTAGTGATCAGTCGAATGTCTGACTTGCTTTGTTTCTTTAAGTTCCACTCTTGCTGTGCTTGGGAAATGGCTTGTGACAGAGGCCAGAAAACCCTGCTGCACACTCAGTGTAACTAGCTGTTACATCTTGAAAAGATTTGCTTTTGAAGTAAAAGTCGTAGTATCACAGGGCACAGGGATTTTAAATGAAAAACTCCCAATTCTAGCTCATGCTCTACTCCTGTTGTTTATATGTTTTGTGAGACAGTGAGAAAGTGATTTCCTTGTAATATTTGTGTGTTTGGTGTGTAGATATCAGAGAGAGCTTTTGCTTCACCAAGTTTGAGAACAGTGTCTGCTCGGTGCCCAAGGCCAGGAACAGCACGAAAGCGGAGTGTTGCTGCAGCAGCATGCCGGGCGAGGGCTGGGGGGATCCCTGTGAGATCTGCCCCAGAGAGGAAGACGGTGAGTCCAGTGATGGCAACACATAGAATCATAGAATCATTGGCCCATCGAGTCTGTGCGGCTCTTTGAAAAGAGCAATGTAATGTCAATCCCATTCCCAGCCCTTTCCCCATAACCTGCAAACCCGTCCTCCTCAAATACCCGTCCACCGCATTTTTAAAAGTAGTTATTGAATCGGCCTCGACCGCCTTTTCAGGCGATTGTGTTCCAGATTCGAACAACTCGCTGCGTGAAAAAATGTCTTCTCCCCTCCCCTCGGCTTCTTTTAGAGACTATTTTGAATCTGTGACCTCGAGTCACCGACACACCCACCAGTGGGAACAGTTTATCCCTTTCTAACCTATCAAATCCCCTCATGATTTTGAAGACCTCTATCAGGTCCTCGTAACCTTCTCTGCTCCAATGAGAATAATCCCGGCCTCTCCAGCCTTTCCTCATCATCACGGTCCCTCATTCCTGGTCCCATCCTCGTAAATCTCCTCTGCACCCTTTCCAATGCCTTAACATCCGTCCTATAGTGCGGTGCCCAGAACTGGGCGCAGTATTCTAACTGAGGCCTAACCAGTGTTTATATGGGTTAATCATCACCTCCTGACTCTTGTACTCAATGCCCCTATTTATAAAGCCCAGTATCCCATATGCCCTTTTTACAGCTGTATCTACCTGTCCTGCCACCTTCAAGGGTTCATTTACCTGCACCCCCAGGTCTCTCTGTTCTTTTACCCCCTTAAGATTGCATTACGAGCCTATATTCCCAACATTTCGTCTTACGGGAATCAAACCCAGCTCTCTAGAGAATTGAGGCAAATGCTCTAACCACTGAGCTACAGGACTGAGAAGAATGGTAGAAAGGATTAAAATAACAACTTTCTGAGACATCTCTTTTGGCTGAGTGGTCGAATTATACAGCACAGAAGGAGGCCATTCGGCCCATCGTGTCTGTGCCGACTCTTTGAAAAGAGCTTCCAAATCAACCCCACTTCCCCGCGCTCTCCCCATAGCTCTGATCAACCCCACTCCCCCGCGCTCCCCATAGCCCTGATCAACCCCACTCCCCCGCTCTCTCCCCATAGCCCTGCAAACTTGTCCTCCCCAAGTTAAGGTGTTATTGCATCGGCTTCTACCATCCTTTCAGGCAATGCATTCCAGATCCCAACAACTCAAATAACTTTAATAGGTGTTTGAAATTATAAAAGATTCAATAAGATTAACATAAATAGGCTGTTCCACTGTTGAGGATTCTGTAACAAGGGGACACTAGTGTAAAACAGCGATTGGAGGATCTGAAAGGTTTAGGAGGAATTAGTTCACACAGAGGCAAGTGAGATTGTGAAACTCGCTGCCTGAAGCAGTGGTTGAAGCAGATAGTGTTGATACATTCAAGACAAAACTAGATCTTCACATAAGGGAAAGGAGAATAGAAGGGTGTGGGAGGGAATAAGCAGTGGGGGGGGATTAATCTCTGTAAATTTAATGGAAGTTACTGCAGTCACCACACTTTACAGTAAATCCTGTACAGCTTTTTAAACATCTGTTAATATCAGACTATATGGAGGTGTCACTGTTAATATCAGACCACCTGTTGGCGCACTATTGAAAGGTTGACATTGAGTATGTGTTAAACCCTGACACCATGTTGCCTGTTTCCCCCCAGAGGTGTTTGTACAGCTGTGCCCCAATGGTTTGGGTTCAGTGGTTGGTATTGACGATTCTCGTGTGGGTGAGTTTCCAATTGTGTCACTTTATTCTGAATTGTTAACTGGTTGAAGAGTTTGTGATTGTGTTAAAACTTAAAACAATTCACATCAGCTTGAAGTTACCTCACTGTTAGGGAAGGGGACACTGATATGAGGGGCTCCATTACAGTGGGGGGGCACTGTTACAGGAGGCACTTATGGGGGGGGGCACTGTTACGGGTGACTATGTTATGGGGGTCACCCTTACCGGGGGCTGTTACGGGAGGGGGCACTTTTACGTGGCGGCTGTTATGGGAGTCGCCCTTACGCCTTGTTATGGGGGGCAATGTTACGGGGGGGCTATTATGGGGGTCACTGTTCCGGTGGGGGGCACTATTAAGGGGGGCACTGTTACGGGGGGGCACTGTTACGTAGGGGCATCTTTACGGGGGGGAACTGTTATGGACAGGCTGTTATGGGGGGTGGGGGAGCCTGTTAATGCGGGGGGCACTGTTATGGGGGGCTGTTCCGGGGGTGGAGGGGCACTGTTCTAGGGGGCGCTATTACGGTTGACAATGTTACAGGGGGCACTGTTACAGGGGAGTACTGTTACGGGGGTGGCACTGTTACGGGGGGGGCACTGTTACGGGGGGGGGCACTGTTACGGGAGGGCACTGTTACGGGGGGCACTGTTACGAGGGGGCACTGTTACGGGGGGGGCACTGTTACGGGGGGGGCACTGTTACGGGGGGCACTGTTACGGGGGCACTGTTACGGGAGGGCACTGTTAAAGGGGGACTGTTACAGGGAGCTGTTATAGGGGTCACCCTTACCGGGGGCTTTTATGGGGCGGGGGCACTGTTATGGGGGTGCTGTTACAGGGGGGGAGGGGAGCCACTGTTAAGGGAGGGCACTGTTCCGGGGGTCTTGTTACTGGTGTCACTCTTTTACTGGGGGGGCTGTTCTGGAGGTCATTGTTACGGAGGTCATGTTAAGGGGGGCACCATTACTGGGGTCACCTTGTTACGGGGGCACTGTTACAGGAGGTGGAGTGGGGGGGCACTATTACGGGGGGGGGGGCACTGTTACGAGGGGCCCTGTTATAGGGGGGCTGTTCCGGTGGGGGGGCTGTTCCGGTGTGAGGGCTGTTCCGGTGTGAGGGCTGTTCCGGTGTGAGGGCTGCTCCGGTGTGAGGGCTGTTCCGGTGGGGGGGCTGTTCCGGTGTGAGGGCTGTTCCGGTGTGAGGGCTGCTCCGGTGTGAGGGCTGTTCCGGTGTGAGGGCTGTCCGGTGTGAGGGCTGTTCCGGTGGGGGGCTGTTCCGGTGTGAGGGCTGTTCCGGTGGGCTGTTCCGGTGTGAGGGCTGTTCCGGTGGGGGGCTGTTCCGGTGTGAGGGCTGTTCCGGTGTGAGGGCTGTTCCGGTGTGAGGGCTGTTCCGGTGGGGGGGCTGTTCCGGTGGGGGGGCTGTTCCGGTGGGAGGGCTCTTCCGGTGGGGGGGCTCTTCCGGTGGGAGGGCTGTTCCGGGGGTGGGGGCTGTTCCGGTGTGGGGGCTGTTCCGGTGTGGGGGCTGTTCCGGGGGTGGGGGGACGTTCCGGGGGTGGGGGGACGTTCCGGGGGTGGGGGCTTTTCCGGGGGTGGGGGCTTTTCCGGGGGTGGGGGGACGTTCCGGGGTGGGGGGACGTTCCGGGGGTGGGGGGACGTTCCGGGGGTGGGGGGACGTTCCGGGGGTGGGGGGACGTTCCGGGGGTGGGGGGACGTTCCGGGGGTGGGGGACGTTCCGGGGGTGGGGGGACGTTCCGGGGGTGGGGGGACGTTCCGGGGGTGGGGGGCGTTCCGGGGGTGGCGGGACGTTCCGGGGGTGGCGGGACGTTCCGGGGGTGGGGGCTGTTCCGGGGGTGGGGGCTGTTCTGGGGGTGGGGGGCTGTTCCGGGGGTGGGGGGACGTTCCGGGGGTCATTGTTACGGGGGTCTTGTTACTGGTGTCACTCTTTTACTGGGGGCTGTTCTGGGGGTCATTGTTACGGAGGTCATGTTAAGGGGGGGCACCATTACTGGGGTCACCTTGTTACGGGGGCACTGTTACAGGAGATGGAGTGGGGGGGGCACTATTACGGGGGGGGGGGGCACTGTTACGAGGGGCCCTGTGAAAAGGAGGGCTGTTCCGGTGTGGGGGCTGTTCCGGGGGTGGGGCTGTTCCGGGGGTGGGGGACGTTCCGGGGGTGGGGGGCTGTTCCGGGGGTGGGGGGACGTTCCGGGGGTGGGGGGACGTTCCGGGGGTGGGGGGACGTTCCGGGGGTGGCGGTACGTTCCGGGGGTGGGGGGCTGTTCCGGGGGTGGGGGGCTGTTCCGGGGTGGCGGGACGTTCCGGGGGTGGCGGCTGTTCCGGGGGTGGGGGGCTGTTCCGGGGGTGGGGGGCTGTTCCGGGGGTGGGGGGCTGTTCCGGGGGTGGGGGGCTGTTCCGGGGGTGGGGGGCTGTTCCGGGGGTGGGGGGACGTTCCGGGGGTGGGGGGACGTTCCGGGGGTGGGGGGACGTTCCGGGGGTGGGGGGACGTTCCGGGGGTGGGGGGACGTTCCGGGGGTGGGGGACGTTCCGGGGGTGGGGGCTGTTCCGGGGGTGGGGGCTGTTCTGGTGTGTGGGCTGTTCCGGTGTGGGGGCTGTTCCAGGTTTCTGTAGATCAGAGAATTTGGGAAAATGTTTGTGAATTAAAATTTGTTGATTTGAACCTGATCTTTTTCCTGAATAAAGACACGGACGAGTGTACCACAGACCCTGGAATCTGTAAGAATGGGAAATGCATCAATACAGACGGCTCTTTCCGCTGTGATTGTCCATTTGGATTTAACCTGAATGTCAGTGGAGTCCAATGTGTTGGTGAGTTCTCAATGAATAGATTAAGTTCTATTGTGAAACGTGTCCTTTCTCAGTGGCAAAATTACTATTTCCTACAAGATTATTTGAATTGTTTTTCTAAACCTCAATTCCACCCAAACTCTCCAATCTTTTATTGTGCATCTGTGAAGACCATTCTTTCGTAACGTTATTTGTGTTTAAAGTTGCCTGTCAAACATGCCTATAAAGTATACGACTTACATCTTAATGTAAACAATCATTGAGGTTATAATCATTATTGCAATGTTACTCAATCCAAATGAAGGGTGTGTTACCAACTTTTTTATTTCTCAATCCAAACTCTCAATAACCCCCTCAATAACCCCCTCAATAACCCACTGCTCTAAACCACACTTTGTCCCTCTGTATTTCCTGCCCTTCTTCTTACTGTCCCTTTTGTTGTCAATTTACTCTTAAAGGAGTATCCAACACTTATAATAATAATCCTTGCATTTGATATAGCATTTTATCACATCTTTGAGACATTTTAAATTGCTTCACAGAATATACTGTAAACTGGAGTGATTAAATTTTGTGGGCCAAATGCAGCAGCCAATTGCACACAGCAATGTCCCACAGACAGTTGTGGATTGAGTGAGCAATTTATTATTATTATTTTTGAAGGGATTATTATTCAGATGAAGGTTCAGACCATTTGATCTTTTCCTTCAGGAATACCCACAGATAGCACGGTACAGACACCCAGGACATGTGGCCTCTTGTGTATCTGAAAGTACAGAGAAACCTCATTATTACCTTGTTAGCTCGGCTATGTTGGCAGCAAAGTGCAAAGAATGGCCGACTTGTAGGTTGTTAGGTCATCGTAACCTCACTTCTGCTGCTTTGTGCAGGAAGATACTTTCATGAGGTGATGTACACAGATAATTTACAATCATTTTTTAAAAAAAACGTACATTTGGTATTAGCTCCTTTCATGTCGGGAGGACGTTGCAAAGTGCTTCATACATATCTTGTAAAGTGAAGGGACTGTATTTTGTAAGTGAATCTTGCTTTAGTGCAGAAAAACAGCACCAGCCAGACAGAGCCAGTCAGTCACGAGGCTCTGCTTGCAGATGGACTGCTTTACTCTCTTTATTGATGGACTGCTTTACTCTCTCTGCACATTTATTGTCCTAACCCCAGTTTGCCTCTCTGACATTTCTCCTCTCAGCACTGAGACAAGTCAAAATGACGTCCTCACTCTCTGTGACGGGGGCTCCCTCTGTCTCCTTGTCTTCCTGGACCTCTGCACTGCATTCAACACAGTTGAACGTGCTGTTCTTCGTGACCCATCTTCTCCCTCAGCGGGAACCCATTCTCCTGGATCGAGTCCTCCTTGACACACCGCCATCTCCATCCCCACTGCAGAGTACCCCAAGCCTCGATTCTCGGCCCCTCATTCCCCTTATTTACACGCTCCCTCTTGGTGATCTCGTCCGCAGACATGGGGACAACTTGCACATACGACACCCAAAAATACTTTTCCTCTTCTAGCCACAACCCAAGTCCACAGACGTCTGTCTTGCTTATCAGACATCAAGGCTTGGATGAATGCCAACTTTCTGCAGCTAACTATTAACTATTAACAAGACAGAAGCCATCTTCCTTGGCGTCCTTCAGCATCATCTCACCTGCTGGTCAGACCTCTTAACCTCCCCAGCCTTTCCCTCAGACTCACTGAACCTGTATGTAACCAGGTTACATGAACCTGCAAGTGACCTAGGCTGTCCTTCCTCCCCCACATCCGGTCCCTGACCAGGACAGCTGTCCCCCACATCAACTACATTGCCCACCTCTGACCATGTCTCAAACCCAAAGCAGCCAAAACTCTTATCCGAGCATTTGTCACCTCCCACCTCGGTTTCTCCAATGCCCTCCGCACCGGTTTCCCCAGCTCCACCATTTACTGGCTCTCTATTGCAGAACTCATCATTTTCAAGATTCTCACGCTTGCGTACGAATCACTTTGTGCCGTGGCACCTCCCGATTTCTCTGACCTACTCACACCACACTCCTCTTCCCAATCAGTTGTCTCCAGCTCTCCATTTGTCCCCTTGGCCATGCATTTAGCCAGTTCCCCCTGAGAATCTGGAACTCTCTGCCTCAATCCCTCCCACTTCCTCACTCCTTGTCCATCTTCAGATCAGACCTGAAGCCCTTCCTCTACAACCGTGCCTATGTCACCTATCTTATCTCCCTGGTTCAGGGTCAGGCTCTGCCATTGCGAAGCGAAATCCATGAATACAATCCATGCATTTGATTCAGTGCCTTATCACGTCTTCAAGACATCTCAAAGAGCTTCACAGAGTATACAACAGCAACAGAAATACATTTGTATAGAGCCTTTCATGTCGGGAAGACGTCCTAAGTTGCTGGACAGTCGGTGTTTTGGACCTGAGCTGGGGTTTGAGATCAGGGAGGGTTTAGGGGAGGGGTGGAAAGAGGGTGATCAAAGGCACGGCTGAAGAGGAGGGTCTTGAGACGGATCTTGAAGGTGGTGAGGGAGGGGGCGAGGCGGAGGGACTGGGATGAAGTTCCAGAGGGTGGGGGCAGAGTGGCTGAAGACCCACCCGCCAATGGTGGGGCGGGGGGAGGCGGGGGATGTGAAGCAGGCCGGAGCCCGCTGAGCGGAGGGGGTGAGCAGGATGGTACAGGATTAGGAGGTCGCAGAGATCGGGTGGAGCAAGACCATGGAGGGCTTTGAAGGTGAGAACCAGGATCTTGAACTGTATCCTCTGTGTGATGGGAAGCCAGTGGGGTCGGGCGAGGATGGGGGTGATAGGGTCACGGAGCCTGGTGGGGGTGAGGATGGGTTTGATAGGATCATGGAGCCTTGTGCAGGAGAGGACACGGGCTGCAGAGTTCTGGATGATCTGCAGCCTGCGGAGGGAGGAGTTGGGAGGCCGACAAGGAATGAGTTTCCATAGTCAAGCCTTGATGTAATGAAGGTGTGTGTGAGGGTTTTGGCGGTTTGCGGTGTGAGACGGTGCCGGAGCCGGGTGGTGATGTTGCGGAGGTGGAGAGGGCAGAGCGGTCATGGCACAGATGTGGGTAGAAAGGACAGTTGAGGGTCAAACAAGACCCCAAGTTTCCGGACTGGCTCAGTGAGGGGAGTGAGCCCCATGGATGGTGATGCTGTCAGTGCCTGAGGTGAGGAGGCATTGACCGGAGCCAATCAGGAGCCTCGGTCTTGTTGACGTTCAAGTGAAGAAAGTTTGCTCTCATCCAGGACTTGATGTCTGACAGACATTGTGTCAGGACAGCAGTGGGTCCTGGAGTCCAGGGTGGGGGCAGAGAGGGAGAGTTGGGTGTCATCCGCATACATGTGAGAGGTGACCCCATATCTGTGGATGATGTCACCAAGAGGGAGCGTATAGATATTGAAGAGGAGGGATCAAGGACAGAGCCCTGAGGAATGCTGCACGAGACAGAGCGGGGGCTGGAGGACAAGTTGTTTGTGAAGATGAAGTGGAGATGGTGTGAGAGGTAGAATCTGAACCATTCAAGGACAGAGCCATGAAGGTTGACGTGAGAGAAGAGGCAGTGGAGGAGGATAGAGTCGTCAACGGTATCGATTGCAGCAGATATAATAATAATAATAATCCTTGCATTTGATATAGCGCATTTCACGTCGGAAGGACGTCCCAAAGCGTTTCACAGAACACACTGTAAAGTGAATTGACTGTATATTTGTGGGCAAATGCGGCAGCCAATTGCGCACAGCAATGTCCCACAAACAGTCGTAGATTGAAAATGACCAATTTATTATTGTTTTTTGTTGTTTGGAGGGATTATTATTAGGCTCTGTGTGGAGTAAGGAAACTTGCCCAAGGTTTCGCCCTGACGGGAATTGAACTCAGGTCTCTCACTTGCAAAGGGCTGAGCCACAGGACTCCACTGAGCCACAGGACTCCAAATACTGAATATTGGAGTAACAGAATAGAAAAGAAAATAAAGAAAAACAATGAGTTTTCTTCCCAATGTTGGTATTCAACATTTTGGTTAATTTAACTTTTTCTTAAAACATAATTTTATTTTCAGGGCCATACAAGTTCCAAGAACACAACTTAGTAAGGAGAACCTAACAGAAAGGAAGTCTGGGCAGCTAGTAAACTGGTGGGCTTCCATACTAATTCAACACTGTTGATTCATCTATAACCTCACCAACAACATCCTTAGAATGGACAAAACTCCACTAAAAATGGGGTTTGTTTTGAACTTTTCATTGTGTTTCAGGCAAACTGAACCAGTCATCCAAATAGTTCCACACACAGAGTAAATCCTAGATACAAGCAATATAAAGAGAGTCGTATACCTAGTGTATTATCCCTCTCACTCAGATGATTGTGAAAGTGGACTGTACTTGCTCTGTAGCAGCGACAGTGTCAGGAAACCTTCTGTGTTCATGAGCTCTTGCGAAAGGAAACAGATCCCGTAAAAGAAGTGCTAGACTCGATTGAATTTGGCTTTACATAAACATGTTCATTAAAAACAAGATTGAACCCATTACTTTAGTTGCTGCAAAGTGATGAACTTTTTTGGGAGTCGGATGTTTTCTGGCATTGGTTTGACCAACTAATACTCTATATGACACTAACCATACATTTATCAATGGTAGAAGTCTCACATCCACATTTTATAAACTATTGTTATCCAAAGTAACAGAATTTTTCCAAATATTACAAGCAAATTCAAGCCAAATTACTTTTATTCAAAAGTACCTGATCTGTGTCGCAATCAGAATGAACACCTCCATATCTAAAGCAATTTCTGTACACAAAATACAGGGATTCCTGTACCTAAAAGTGATAAAGATTTTTTGTATAACTTTCTGTATAAATTAAGCAACATAAATGATCTTACCTGCCACACTGAAACCATTTTTGAAGCCTGGTTGCTGCAGTGCAAAGAGCCACCCAAAAAGACCTCCAATTGCTGACAATGGTTGCAGTGCCCAACCAACTGACTCAGGGATATGACTGATTGCCGTGTAGGCTCGCCCATCACTTACAACCACGTAGGCGTGCAGGTCGGCATTACGAATCTCCACAGGTGTGCGGCTGGCTCCAACCACTAATTTCCCATTTACTTTTCCATTCACACGCTGCGTGGCACCTTCTACCAGACACCTATCTACCAGATAGGAAAGTTTCCGAACATTTTGGCCTACCCAGGAATCAAACCTAGGTCCTCTAGCTTGCAAGGTGAGAGCTCTAATCACTAGATCTATACACCAAGGCCTATATACAGGACCAATACATTCAAGTTGTTCTTGTCATCTTCTAATATTTTTTCGTCCCTCGGCCCTCCTTGTGGCTGCTGTTCAGTGTTGTGGGAGTGGCTGGAGAGATGTGATCTGTCAGTCTTTGCTAAGCTTCATTTTACTGCATTGTATTTGACATTGACATAATTTGGAGCAAGGTTTCTTAGAGGAATTATTGAAATAAAAACAAATTGTAATTTTTGCAGCCCCGTGAGATCCTGTGACTGAAATGTTTAAAGAACTGGTTGGGGTGTTCTGCTTCCTCGTGGGCACAGGATATTGGTATGAATGGCAATAAATCAACACAGCAAGGTCCATTGTCACCATTTACATAAATTGTAGACAGATTAAAGCTACCATTGACTAACTACCTTTTATTTCTGTATAACAGATACGAATGAATGTGCTGTTGGCAATCTGTGTGGTAACGGAACATGCACCAACGTGATTGGAGGGTTTGAATGTGCATGTGACGAAGGCTTTGAACCAGGACCAATGATGATTTGTGAAGGTAAAGGTTTTTTTCCATACAATTCCAGAGAAAGCTTTAGAAAGAGACACCATAATCTCCTTACAACATTCCTTGGCCCCATACATTGCAGCAGCATTAGGTAGAGGCTGATCTGTGGCTGGTTAACATCAGTGATTGAGGTCAGTGGAGAATGGAAATATATTGGGAAGCAGCCCAGGATCCCCAGAGACAAGGACGAGATATCAGATGTCCACCTTCGCTGAGGATCTTTGCCAGAGAGAAGTTGGCACCAAGCTTATGGAGCGATAATGGTGTCCTGTGTTCATACCGATTGTTGGAAACAAATGTTAATCTTTTTACTTCCTTTCACAAATAGACCTCAATGAATGTGTTCAAAACCCACTTCTCTGTGCATTCCGATGTGTTAACACGTATGGTGGATATGAGTGCCGATGTCCTGGTGGATACGTGCTCAGAGAGGATGGGAGGATGTGTCGAGGTGAGGAACGTTAATTTTTGATTCAAATGTTCTTATTTCTGGTGTTTTATTATCTTTTGAGTTCCTCTGATATCAGAGCGTGATGCCCCTCATCCCCTTTCACCCCTTCCTTTCCATTTCCCTCCCTCCCTCCCTCAATGAGCAATGCAGCCAATGAACTCTCCCGTTTGTCTGTCACAACTCAGATGCAGGACTTCCTATGTTCATACCAAATAAAACTCTCTCCACTCATGTGGCACAACAACACCAACAAATCCCCCTCCCCTCCATTTCATCTGGTCTACCCGCTTCCTCCATAACTCGTAAATGTTATCTTTCTGGAAGGCAAACACCATAATATTGCTTTTGCAGCCCAAGGGCATTTCTCAAACCAAAAGGTTGCCGAGGGCAGTTACACCAGACACAGCTCCCACCCCGACTATTCAAATGCCCTCCCTGCCAGTCTCCCCAACTCCACCATACACAAAAGTCAGCTAATCCAAAGCTCCGCCACACATATTCACCCATACTAAACACCACAACCCCATCACACCAGTCCAAGCCAGACTCCACTGTCCCTATCGCCAAACGGATCGTTCCTCACACTCGTTTTCAAATCCCTTCGTGCCCTGGCACCTCTTCACCCTGCTTACTCCCCAACCCACTACCTGCTACCTCGGCTCGACTGGCTCCAGCCTCCTGCATATCCCTCAGGCCTTCCATTCCACCATTGATGGCCGCGCTTTCTTGTCAATACACCCTGAAACTCTGGAACATTCTCTGTCTCTTCGCCTTGCCTTCCTTCCCCATCTTCAGAACACGCCTGAAGACATTTCTTTTCGACCGTAGCTGTAGTCACCTCCCCCTGGGTCTGTGTCATGCTCGGCGACTGTCAAGTGCTCTGGAACACTACACGGTGTGAGGAGCGTTGTGTAAATGCAAGTTGTTGTTGGACTGCTCTGAATTGTAGAGCACTTCACAATAACAGGCTCAGACACCAAGCGAGCCAGAGGGAGAGGTGACTATAGGCCTAATCAATAAGGGGGAAAAGAGAGAGAGAGAGAGGGAAGCGAGAGGGGGGAGAGAGAGGTGGGAAGAAAGAGAAGGGGGAGAGAGAGGTGGGAGGAGAGAGAGGGGGGAAGAGAGAGGGAAGATACAAAGACATACAGATAGACACACCATTAACCCACAGCCTCACACACATACACAAACAATCACAATCAATTCACCAGCATTTGGAAGCTATAATAATAATCCTTGCATTTGATATAGAGCTTTTCACGTCTTCTCGACGTATCAAAACACTTCATAGAATAGAATGTAAAGTGAAGTGACTGTATATTTGTGGGCGAACGCGGCAGCCAATTGCGCACAGCAATGTCCCACAAACAGTTGTGGATTGAAAATGACCAATTTATTATTGTTTTTTGTTTTTGGAGGGACTATTATTACCTTGTAGCTAAGATAAAGGTTTAACTTTTAAGATGAGTTTTCATGCTTGTAGATCCACATTGCCACTTGTCAAGAATTTCCATTTCAACATTTGAGTGTGGTCTTGTAACGTGCAGGAGATGGCCAGTGATCTGACAAATTGGCACACACTGGCAGCCTGGCTTATCGCTGGGACCCGCTGCCTCACTGTGAATCTAAGCTGTGTTTTGTGAGGATGTCAAGCCTGTGTTGCACATGTTACAGATCAGGATGAGTGTGAGGAACAGCTGGATGATTGCTCCTCGAGAGGGATGGTTTGCAAGAACCTGATTGGGACTTTCATGTGCATCTGTCCGACTGGCCTGACACGGAGACCAGATGGAGAAGGCTGCAGAGGTAACACGGCTCTTCATAACATAACATGTAACATGTTTAATGCCCAGTGTGCTTATGGAGTCTTATTCCTTCTTGTAGATGAGAATGAGTGCCGCACCAAGCCCGGGATCTGTGTGGACGGTCGCTGTGTTAACACCGTGGGAAGTTACAAATGTGAATGCAATGAAGGATTTACAGCCACTTCTGTACAGACTGAATGTGTTGGTGAGTCTCACATTTTTACTATTTTCTGAAGTAATCCGACTCTTACAATAGAGAATACAGATAGGGAATACAGGACTGCACATCATTCCTATCCTCACCTGTACCAAACTCTGCACCTCCATCACCCCCGTCCCCACCTCCATCACCCCCGTCCTCACCTCCATCACCCCCGTCCTCACCTCCATCACCCCCATCCTCACCCCCATCCTCACCTCCATCACCTCCGTCCTCACCTCCATCACCCCCGTCCCCACCTCCATCACCCCCGTCCTCACCTCCATCACCCCCGTCCTCACCTCCATCACCTCCGTCCTCACCTCCATCACCCCAGTCCTCACCTCCATCACCCCCGTCCTCACCTCCATCACCCCCGTCCTCACCTCCATCACCCCCGTCCTCACCTCCATCACCCCCGTCCTCACCTCCATCACCCCCGTCCTCACCTCCATCACCCCCGTCCTCACCTCCATCACCCCCGTCCTCACCTCCATCCCCCGTCCTCACCTCCATCACCCCGTCCACACCTCCATCACCCCGTCCACACCTCCATCACCCCCGTCCACACCTCCATCACCCCCGTCCTCACTCCATCACCCCCGTCCTCACCTCCATCACCCCCGTCCTCACCTCCATCACCCCCGTCCTCACCTCCATCACCCCCGTCCTCACCTCCATCACCCCCGTCCTCACCTCCATCACCCCGTCCTCACCTCCATCACCCCCGTCCTCACCTCCATCACCCCCGTCCTCACCTCCATCACCCCCGTCCTCACCTCCATCACCCCCGTCCTCACCTCCATCACCCCCGTCCTCACCTCCATCACCCCCGTCCACACCTCCATCCTCACCTCCATCACCCCCCCGTCCTCACCTCCATCACCCCCCCGTCCTCACCTCCATCACCCCCCCGTCCTCACCTCCATCACCCCCCCGTCCTCACCTCCATCACCCCCCCGTCCTCACCTCCATCACCCCCCCGTCCTCACCTCCATCACCCCCCCCGTCCTCACCTCCATCACCCCCCCCGTCCTCACCTCCATCACCCCCGTCCTCACCTCCATCACCCCCGTCCTCACCTCCATCACCCCCGTCCTCACCTCCATCACCCCCGTCCTCACCTCCATCACCCCCGTCCTCACCTCCATCACCCCCGTCCTCACCTCCATCACCCCCCCTCACCTCCATCACCCCCGTCCTCACCTCCATCACCCCCGTCCTCACCCCCATCACTCCAGTCCTTGCCAATACGCCCGAATCCCTGGAGTTCTTCCTCAATCTCTCCACCTCACCCCCTCTTTGCCCGACTTCAGATCGCACCTGAAGAATTACCTCTTCGATCATGACCAGTCATCTCCCTCTCTCCTGTGCTCAGCTTCAAACTATACATTATTCAGCACTCTGGGATGTTACCCCACGTGAAGAGCATTGTATTGAGAGTAGGGAATGGAGGCAGGAAGATCTACAGTGTGTTTCTTGCGCTCACTGAGGTAAAGGATTTTAATGTTGGAAATGGAACACATTCCATACTCAGATAAAGCTGCCTTTTCTCTGCCTCAAACCCAACTCAAATTAGGAGATGTAAGAACCTATGTGGTCAGTTAGTAAAATAGTTATAGAAATAAGTTACAAAATGCTATTAATAAAGTAGACTGAACTATTCAATTGTAATAAAAACAGAAGTTGCTGGCAACTCTCAGCAGGTCAGCCAGTATCTATGGAGAGAGGAAAGTGAGTTAACTTTTCAAGTCGATGACCTTTGGTCACTTTCCTCTATCCATAGATGCTGCCTTCAGATTTTTTTATTTTAGATTTCCAGCAACTGCAGTGTTTTGCCTTTTGTTTAATTGTTCTACAGCGTTGATTCCCTTCTCTATTGCAGACAATCGCCAAGGCTTGTGTTTCACAGAGGTGCTCCAGGCCATGTGTCAAATGGCAGCCAGCAGCCGAAATCTTGTGACCAAGTCTGAGTGCTGCTGTGACGGTGGGCGAGGGTGGGGCCCGCAGTGTGAGATCTGCCCACTCCCAGGAACAGGTCGTTTTAAGAAACTCTGTCCACTTGGCCCTGGTTACACCACAGATGGAAGAGGTGAGTAACACTGGGTCTGAGGCAACACCTGTCTATTGATTCTCTTATTGCTGAGCAACTCCACACGCCCAGCACCCCAGTGCTCACAGGCTCTGCTGGTTCCTCTGTCTCCCCTTCCTGGCTCAGGGATCGATCCACTCCTTTGTTAGAGGGAACAGCAGAAAAGTCAGCTCACCTTGAGCAGAGGTGATATTGAGATTTATTGGCTCAGTCAGTGGCTGTGACTTTGAACTCCTAGTCTAGATAGACAGTCCATTGCAGTGCTGGGGAGAGCACTGCATTATCAAAGATGCCATCCTTCGGATGAGACATTAAACCAAGGTCCAGTCTGTTTGTTCAGGCGGCCCCAAAAGATCCTTTTGCTAAAGCAAAGGGAGTCTCTCTCTCCCAGTGTGCTGACTAATAATCCTCCAAATAAAATTGGTCATTCACTTTGTTGCTGTGTGTTGTGTGAAAAAACACTGCCATGATGTCCCACAAAATACACAGTCAGTGCACTTTACAATAAATCCTGTGAAGCACTTTGAGACCTATTGATATGAATAATATCTGATGCATGGAATATCCATACCAATAAAGACAAAATGTCTGTCTGCATGTCTGCCAATAACGCAATAACCGATTGATGTAGATACATGATATATACTCATCGTAAAGGTCTTGAATGGGGGGGGGGGGGGGGAGTCATGTACATGTTTGTTTGGAGGATCTCCTGTTGTTGGTGAGCTATGACCTAAACAAGTTCATCACACATGTTTGGCAGTTTCGCTTAAGGTATACACCTAGTGTTTATGGCATGTTAAATGGTTTGCAAGTGGTACCATTGAAATCTACGTTCCATATGGTTCTTTGGTTCCTTTGGTTGCAAGCTTAGCTGCAACGGATATGACTAATTATTATATAAAGTGGAATCAGCTTTAGTGAACGTCAGGTAAATCAAACATAGTGCCCGGCCCCGATTCATTATACTCTTACTTGTTTTAAATATGGCGGTTATTCCGGGCAAAATGCAGCGCTGATCGCCACTGAATGTACTCACTCGGGCTTCAGTGTGTCCAGCCTTCATTCAGCCATGTTAGTTAACATCGCTTCAAGTGAAACAACAATATTACATATTATTAACCGAGGCCAATGTCACTCTCTTCTGGGTGGGAATGGTATCTTAGTTGCTCTCGAACGCCTCTTAATCCGGACAAAACAGCCTCCCCGATGTGTCCGGGTTAACAGGCTGTATATTTATTGTGAATCATCTTGAGTTTTATTTTGAAGTGAGGGTTTGTTTTTGTTTCAGATATTGATGAATGCAAAGTACTTGGGAAGCTTTGTCAGAACGGACAGTGTATTAACACTGTGGGCTCGTATCGATGTCTATGTAAGCCAGGATACACTTCTGACTTAACCAGCACTTCCTGTGTGGGTATGTATGTCATAACCTTGTAAATACAGCAAATAAAGGCCCAATTTTACTACAAAAGTACAAAAGTCGGTGTGCAGCTGGACACTGGACACTGTAGCCAGCGTCACTGATTTTAACAAAAATTTCACCCTTTTCAAAAGAGGCGACCCATCACAGCTTCATTTATCTCCATTTACAGGAATGATCTAAGCTGGTTTACCCCTCAGGCCCCTAGATACCAGTAAACGTTTCCGCAACAAGTCTATTTAGTAATCATTTTCTTTTAAGCTAAGGTTTTCATGGGCAGGCGATCGCTTCTGGTGTCCCTGTCAAGTCGCTCATTTGTGCACAGAAAACTCAGGTTAGGGTTAGGGTCAGCTTTTGCTGCAGTGACATATAATACAATACAAAATTACATTTGTCTAGTGACATCTCATGTTAAAGAGGCATCTCTTCACACAACTCTCAAATGCCCGTTCCGAATCTACTGTCTGTTCCGGTTTCCCTGACTATTGCAGTTCCCTACAATAGCTCTTTTATGCGATTGAGAATGCAGCGATGGAGTGCCAGTGTGTGTTGGGGACTGTGTGTGTGTGTTTGGGACAGTGTGGGTGTGTATGTGTTGCTGGATATCAAGAAAGGTCACCCAGCATTCCGTTTAGGCAAAATCTGTTAAGCCAAACTTTACTAGTTCCATAAAGTTACACCATGGAGGGATTACAACAAAGCAATACTACCGCGGTTCAGCAGCCGAGGTTCCAATCTGTCTTGTCTGGGTATTCAAGCTTTTTGATCTTCCATCAAGTCTTCCCTCGTGCTCCTCCGATCTTTTCCTTCTGTTTTTCCTTCTTTGTTCTCCCTGTCTTTATACTCTCATCCCACTCCCTCTATACCTTCCTCCAATCTCTTGTCAGTCGTTTACAACCCGTTATTAACATATCCAATCATGTTCCCTTCAACCCTCTTTCTTTGTACCATATGTTCCATGAACTCTCACCCTTTTTGACCCATTGTTAGTATGTTAATTCTGCACCATTATGCTAACAGTGTGTTGGATACAATGTGTGTGTATTTTGAGCACAGTTGTGTGTTTGCATGTCTTGGGGACAGGGTGAGTGTGTATATGTGTGTTGGGGACCACGTGTGTGTGTGTGTGATGCACAGTGTGTGTGTCCATGTGTGTTGGGGACAATGTGTGTGTGTGTTGGGGACAATGTGTGTTGGGGACAGTATGTGTGTATTGGGGTCAGTGTGTGTGTTGGGGACAGTATGTGTGTTGGGGACTGTGTCTGGGTGCATGTGTGTTGTGGACAGCGTGTGTGTGTGTGTGGTGGGGACAGTGTGTGTATGTTAGGGATTGTGTCTGTGTGCGTGTATGTTGAGGACAGTGTGTCTGTGTTGGGGACAATGTGTGTGCGTTTGTATTGAGGAAAGTGTGTGTGTGTTGGGGACAGTATGTGTGTGTATTGGGGGCAGTGTGTGTGTATTGGGTCAGTGTGTGTGTGTTATGTTGGGGACATGTGTCTGTGTGTTGGGGACAGTACGTGTGTGTTGGGGACAGTGTGTGTGTTGGGACAGCGTGTGTGTATGGTGGAGAAAGTGTGTGTGTGTTGAGGACTCTATTTGTGTTGTGTTGGGGACATGGTGTGTGTATTGAAGACTGCGTGTGTGTGTGTGTGTGTGTTGGGTCAGTGTGTCTGTATGTGTTGGGGACAGTGTGTTGTGTGTTGGGGACACTGTGTTGTGTGTTGGGGACAGTGTGTGTGTTGTGTTCACTGTGTTGTGTGTTGGGGACTGTGTGTGTGTGTGCGTTGGGGACTGTGTGTGTATGTGTTGGGGATAGTGTGTGTGTGTTGGGGACTGTGTCTGTGTGGGTGTGTGTTGGGGACAGCGTGGCTGTGTTGGGAACAATGTGTGCATTTGTATTGGGGTCAGTGTGTGTGTGTTGGGGAGAGTATGTGTGTGGTGGGGAAAGTGTGTGTGTGTTGGGGATTCTATGTGTGTTGTGTTGGGGACATGGTGTGTGTATTGGAGACTGTGTGTGTGTGTTGGGACAGTGTTTCTGGATGTGTTGGGGACAGTGTGTTGTGAAAGTGTGTGTTGGGCATAGCGCATGTGCGTGTTTTCGGGACAGTGTGTGTGTTGGGGACACTGTGTGTGTGTTGGGGACAGTGTGTGTTGAGGACAGTGTGCGTTGGGGACCGCGCGTGTGTGTTCGGGACAGTGTGTGTGTTGGGGACACTGTGTGTGTGGGGGACTGCGTGTGTGTTGGGGACTCTGTGTGTATTGGAGACTGTGTGTGTGTGTGTTGGGGACAGTGTGCGTTGGGGACAGCGCGTGTGTGTGTGTCTGGGACAGTGTGTGTGTTGGGGATACTGTGTGTGTGTTGGGGACACTGTGTGTGTGTGTTGGGGACCGTGTGTGTTGAGGACAGTGTGCGTTGAGGACAGTGTGCGTTGGGGACCGCGCATGTGTGTGTTGGGGACACTGTGTGTGTGGGAGACTGTGTGTGTGTTGGGGACTCTGTGTGTGTGTGTGTGTGTGTGTGTTGAGGACAGTGTGCGTTGGGGACAGCGCGTGTGTGTGTGTCTGGGACAGTGTTTGTGTTGGGGACACTGTGTGTGTGTTGGGGACACTGTGTGTATGTGTTGGGGACTGTGTGTGTGTTTGGGATGGTGTGTGTGTTGGGGACACTGTGTGTGTGTGTGTGTTGGGAACTGTGTGTGTGTTGGGGACTGTGTGTGTATGTTGGGGACAGTATGTGTGTGTTTGTGTTGCGTTCAGTGAGTGCGTGTGTTGGGGATTGTGTGTGTGTGTGTTAGGGACTGTGTGTGTGTTGGGGACTCTGTGTGTGTATTGGAAGACTGTGTGTGTGTGTTGGGGACAGTGTGCGTTGGGGACAGCGCGTGTGTGTGTGTCTGGGACAGTGTGTGTGTTGGGGATACTGTGTGTGTGTTGGGGACACTGTGTGTGTGTGTTGGGGACCGTGTGTGTTGAGGACAGTGTGCGTTGAGGACAGTGTGCGTTGGGGACTGCGCATGTGTGTGTTGGGGACACTGTGTGTGTGGGGGACTGTGTGTGTGTTGGGGACTCTGTGTGTGTGTGTGTGTATGTGTGTGTGTTGAGGACAGTGTGCGTTGGGGACAGCGCGTGTGTGTGTGTCTGGGACAGTGTTTGTGTTGGGGACACTGTGTGTGTGTTGGGGACACTGTGTGTATGTGTTGGGGACTGTGTGTGTGTTTGGGATGGTGTGTGTGTTGGGGACACTGTGTGTGTGTGTGTGTTGGGAACTGTGTGTGTGTTGGGGACTGTGTGTGTATGTTGGGGACAGTATGTGTGTGTTTGTGTTGCGTTCAGTGAGTGCGTGTGTTGGGGATTGTGTGTGTGTGTGTTAGGGACTGTGTGTGTGTTGGGGACTCTGTGTGTGTATTGGAAGACTGTGTGTGTGTGTTGGGGACAGTGTGCGTTGGGGAAAGTGTGTGTTGGGGACAGCGCGTGTGCATGTGTGTGTTTTCGGGACAGTGTGTGTGTTGGGGACAATGTGTGTGTGTGTTGGGGACAGTGCGTTGGGGACTGTGCCTGTGTTGGACACACTGTTTGTGTGTGTTGGGGACTATGTGTGTGTGTGTGTGACAGGCTGGGGACTGTGTGTGTGTGTGTGTGTGTGTTGGGGATTGTGCGTGTGTGTGTGTGTGTGTGTGTTGGGGACAATGTGTGTGCGTTTGTATTGCAGAAAGTGTGTGTGTGTTGGGGACAGTATGTGTGTGTATTGGGAGCAGTGTGTGTGTGTTGGGGACAGTGCGTATGTGTTGGAGACTCTGTGTGTGTTGGGGACATTGTGTGTGTGTGTTGGGACAGTGTGTGTTGGGGACAGTGTGCGTTGGGGACAGCGCGTGTGTGTGTGTTGGGGTCACTGTGTGTGTGTGTTGGGGTCACTGTGTGTGTGTTTGTATTGCGGAAAGTGTGTGTGTGTGTGTGTGTGTTGGGGACAGTATGTATGTTGGGGACAGTGCTTGTGTGTGGTGGGGAAAGTGTGTGTGTGTGTTAGGGACTCTGTGTGTTGTGTTGGGGGCATGGTGTGTGTATTGGAGACTGTGTGTGTGTGTTGGGACAACGTGTCTGTATTTGTTGGGGACAGTGTGTGTTGGGGAAAGTGTGTATTGGGCATAGCGCATGTGCGTGTGTGTGTATTGGGCATAGTGTGTATGTGTGTGTGTGTGTTGGGGACAGTATGTGTGTGTTTGTGTTGCGTTCAGTGAGTGCGTGTGTTGGGGATTGTGTGTGTGTGTTGGGGACAATGTGTGTGTGTTTGTATTGGGGAAAGTGTGTGTGTGTGTGTTGGGAACTGTGTGTGTGTGTTGGGAACTGTGTGTGTGTGTTGGGGACTGTGTGTGTATGTTGGGGACAGAATGTGTGTGTTTGTGTTGCGTTCAGTGAGTGCGTGTGTTGGGGATTGTGTGTGTGTGTGTGTGTTAGGGACTGTGTGTGTGTGTTGGGGACAGTATGTGTGTGTATTGGGAGCAGTGTGTGTGTGTTGGGGACAGTGCGTATGTGTTGGAGACTCTGTGTGTGTTGGGGACATTGTGTGTGTGTGTTGGGGACAGTGTGTGTTGGGGACAGTGTGCGTTGGGGACAGCGCGTGTGTGTGTGTTGGGGTCACTGTGTGTGTGTGTTGGGGTCACTGTGTGTGCGTTTGTATTGCGGAAAGTGTGTGTGTTGGGGACAGTATGTGTGTGTTTGTGTTGCGTTCAGTGAGTGCGTGTGTTGGGGATTGTGTGTGTGTGTGTTGGGGACAATGTGTGTGTGTTTGTATTGGGGAAAGTGTGTGTGTGTGTGTTGGGGAGAGTATGTGTGTATTGGGGGCAGTGTGTGTGTGTGTATGTGTGTGTGTTGGGGACAGTGTGTGTGTGTTGGGGACTCTGTGTGTGTGTGTGTGTGTTGGAGACTGTGTGTGTTGGGACAGTGTGTCTGTATGTATTGGGGACAGTGTGTATATTTTGGGGACAGTGTGTATTGGGAACAGTGTGTTGTGTGTTGGGGACAGTGTGTCTGTGTGTTGTGTTCAGTGTGTGTGTGT